ATCTGATAATTTACTAGCCCCATTTCTAAATTAAGCTAAATCATTAAATCGTCATTTATATGGAGAAAATTTTGTCTCCAAGGCAGGTTTCATAGAAATTCATACTTAATTTTAATGACTTATCGTTTAAATTAATCCGTTGTGTGCCTAGTCACCAAGAGGTCACCAGCTTTCTTATATTCAAACTGTTTTGTGCGCTACTTGATTAACACAGAATATGGTATACAACTATGGCACTCAAATGTATTGATCTCTCGTAGTCACAAATTAGAAGACAGAAGAAAGTTGTAGAAGTGTTTGTTGGATCAGAATCAAAATGTACAGAACATCATGGTTATTTATAGATATATAAGCATTTGTTATATCAACATTATAACTCAGTCGGTCGGCAAATAGGCAAGTCATGCTAATGTCTAATAGTAGCATATCACGTTAATATTCTAGATAGTTCCATCACATTCTGATTAGTTAGAAACTCTTCGACTCCTTTGTGAATTCATCGTAGTTCTCAGAAGCTATCCTCGACACCAAATTATTTAGAAAAATTAAGCTCAAAAAATAGTGTTTATCAACATTTAGAAACATTTCATCTTATGAACTGAATTTTCTCATTTTTGTATTACTTGAATTTTTTGTTAGCATTTTTTTATTACCGAGTTAATTTTCTAAGGGATGGGGCCACTAATCTTTTGCTCAACACTCTCTCTTTATCCAGGCTTAGGATTGACAGTAGATCAGTTAGTCAGTACATCAGTTCAAGTTGCCAAACCAAATTAGCACACAGATGCAATTGTCGATTCAAATCCCATAGTAGTAGGGGTAGTAAAATTATAAGCAGTTATCGGAAACATTAGGGAGTATAATCCAGTGAAATGAATTTGAAAAGAGAAAGAAAGGGACATGAAGAATTCAGAAGATTAAAATTCGGGAGAACAAGGAGTGAATACATCTGAGCCATTGCAAACGATTTTGAGCCATATCATTCAACGTCTCTAACTATCGGCTGCTATCGTCTCGCGGTCCCCAACCAGGTATTCTACACCTACCAACATGACTCAGTCCACTTGTCAGTGACTTCATGGATTTGTGCCATGTTTTGGTCTGGCCGCCCCTAGCTTTCTTCCAACTTACTCCTACACCAGAAAACATCGCACGTCGAGGCAGTCGGTGGTTGGGCATACGTAACACGTATCCAAGCCATCTCAACTGACGAAGTTTCATTACTTCATCACTTGATTTGCCATCCTTACCTAGCACCCGTTTCATAACAACTGCATCACTTACTCGATGGTCTCAGAATATACGAACAATGCATCGAAGACACCTATGATCGAATACTAGTAACCTACGAATATTCTCTACTCTTACCGTCCATGTTTCACTGCCATAAAGTAGGACAGAACGAAGTGCTGCGCAGTTAACCTCTCCTTTCTTCAGTAGACGGATATCTCGCCTTAGCCATAAATGACGTAAGTTGGTAGAAGCTAATCGAGCCTTCTGTATCCGTGCTGAGATTTTGTCACACACAAGACCACAAAGACTGATGAGACTTCCAAGATAAGTGATGCGATCGACACGCTCAACTACTTCACTCCCTATCACTAGTTCGGGTGTCTATGCAACCCGATCCTGAAGCAACAATTTGCATTTCGAGGGAAAGAATCGAATCTCGAACATGCTTGCATTGTTGCTTAGAGTGGTCAGAAGACTCTGCATTTTGTCAGAGTCTTCACCAAATAGAACTATATCATCGGCATAGTCTTAATCAACAAGTGAATCTCTCGGTAGAAGTTTAACCCCTGGAAATTTAGATAAGGAAAGTGTTATCTTTAAAAGCATGTCAATGATAAAGTGAAATAAGAATAGAGAGATAATTCACTTTATTGTAGAATTTTACCAAATATATTTACATAGAGAATAATTATGATTGTTTAATTTGCATAAAAATGTTTCTTTTCTTTTTCGACCTTAAATTAATGAAGAGAATAATAAAATACAAATATCTTTAATCGTTAAGGTCACCTTCAGGAGATGTGATATGAATTTAATGAATTCCTATAAGTAAATACAGTGTGTTATGATCATTCAGTTAGTTATAGTTTGGATAGTAACTGGATGTAATTTCCAATGGTGTTTCTCTCTCTCTCTCTCTTTCTCGCTTGCCCGTTCGCTCCCTTTCTCTTTCTTGCTCTCTCTCTCTCTCTCTCTCCCATATTTGTGTCAATTACTGTACTACTAGCTATTTGATCTTCTGTTGTTAATCCTAATTCTATTTGATGTAATTATCTATTGTATATGATTATTGTTTAAGTTTATAATAAACATTCAAATTATTATCATTTGTGGCAGTGAGATTAGAATTTATGGACGACCTTTGAGTGACGCTAGAGTGACATTGAGAGTGTCCACCCAGCTGACTAAGACGAAATGAAGAGGATGGAGAATTAGAATAAGAATTTACTGTTGATGGTTAATGGTTAGGAATTAACTTTGTGGTTTTTATGACGATCTGATATAAACTAAAATATCAAAACTGTATTTAACCAAATGGATGATTTTACTTATATGTTGGGATATTCGGAAAAATATACCAATAATTATCATGTTAAATCTAATGGTGTCCTTGGACGTTAAACGGACATTACCTATTGATCAATGTTTATTTCACTTGTCAAATATTGTACAAATGTTGTTTTCTATTTTTATGGTACTATGTGGTTTGTTTGATTGGTATATAAACAGAGTATGTTTGAAATATAATGATTCATATCTCAGAGGCTGAGACTTGCGTTCTGGACTCAACTGGCTGTGCTAGACACGGAAGCGGGACCAATCGAGACTCTAGGCCGTCCGTACGTTGTTTATGTGTCATTGATCCGATCGATAAATACGCTGCGCGTCTAATCTGCAGGCCACAAGACACAACATTATACCTAATTGGTTCGTTCATAAATTATAGTCTTGCTCTTGTGGTCATGTGCTCTATTAATAGGTTAGGTAATTATATCGTTATTTAGAGTACAGTGAATCAATGACGTATAAAACCTGTACGAGCAGCCTAGATTCTTTAATGGTCTTTTATCCTGTCTAGTACTGTCTGTTAGAGTCCAGAACGCCAAACTCAACCTCCATGATATCAATCATGTATTTCAAACATACTGGGTTTATATGCAAAGCAAACAAACCACATCATACACGCACACACACCATAAAATAGAAAATACACATTTGTACAAGATTATCAAGGTCTTCAACGACAAGTATTAACCAATAAGACTTCATTGGAATCAAGAAGATGTCAGTATTTTAAGTACCCAATAACTCATAAGTAAAATTCCTCATTGTAATATGTTCATGCTATAGTTTTTACCATCTCAGCTTTCTTATAAACTTGATAATTTATTCAAGTAATATCTTGAAACAATCAAATAGTGTGTATTATTCCTGGGTTCGAATCTCGCGTGGTCGAGGTCGTGGATGCGCACTACTGAGGAGTCACATAATAAGACGAGACAGCCGTCCAGTGCTTCCAAGTCTAGCTTCAATTGACTCATGATCTCAACTAGTGAAAGTACCTTTAGATTAGTTATACTTTGAGAAATTTCAATCTTTATTGAAAGGATAATTAACATAGAGTCGTTATTATAAATAATGATATACTAACTTATGACTATTCAAGATTTCTTCATATCTACTTAAATCAATATAATGTTGCGATGGTTATTAGATTTACATATATTCTAGTTTATTTTAGTTCATTAGCTAGTTACTTAATTATTTACGTCTGTTAATCCGAATGGAGTATACGCCACTGATTAGCATTCTCTAACCCACTATATCTTGGACTTACCTTTCTAGTTATATCCAAGTGTTATTCATTCTTTTCATATCTGTCTTCATGTGTTCTTTGGTCTTCCTTTTCTCCTTTGCCTTTGAAGATTCCAGGTGATGGTTTGCCATAAGGTGCAGTTGTGTGGTTTCCTCAATGGGTGTCCTATCCACTTTCAGAGCTTCTTTCTGATTTCTTCCTACGCTGAAATCTGATTTGTTTTCTCCCACAGTAGGTTGTTGCTAATACTGTCTGGCTAACGGATCCGAAGTATTTTGCGTAGACAAATGTTAATAAACACTTGTATCTTCTGGATGATGGCTTTCGTAATTGTCCAAGTTTCCACCCCATACAGTAGAACTATATTGACATTTGTATTGAAAATTCTGACTTTGTTGTTGGTTGATAGTTGTTTTGAGTTCCATATGTTCTTCAATTGTAGGTATGCTGCTTTTGTTTTGCCGATACGGGCCAATAATTAATGAGTATCTTTGAACCTAGGTTTCTTGACAGTTGATAGTTGCCAGTGTGGGATATTCGCAAACTTAAGGGTGACTAATACTCTCCGTGAGGTTCCGATTGGCATTATCCAGTATTACAGTTAGAGATATTGCATAGTGCACATTTGTTCTTTATTATTTTTGTGATTGATATTTTACTATGGTTTTACTAGTTCATACATCACATGGATATACAATGTGTAGGCTAAGAGATGAGATATTAACATACAAGATACTTTATTTTGTATCTTATAAATTAATTCTTTTTGTTAAAAATAAAGATAAATATGAGGACGACCCACAGATGAATTCGAAGAAGCTTCAAGAAGCTCAGAAAGAACCAAAGACATTCCATCCAGTCATTTCTTGAAAGAACACTACAGAATCTCAGTGTTTAGCTTCCCAATTGGATAAATGCTAATAACCCCCCTGAATACGAATTGGAAGACTATAATAATGATTTCGTCTTTACTAAAGAAAAAAACTATAAATACCTAATAGTTTTGTACCATATTTGCTACTTCGGAGGGTTCTAGAGTTCGACTGCTTCAAGTTATATATGGTATATTCAGAATTTAACCTCTTAGATAATCACAATCAATATTAATCAATAATTCTTTCCCTCAGTTCATTCATAATCATTATTTATATCATCTTGTTATTCATTATAGTCAATAGTCATCTCATGAATTCAGATCATTCTGAATCGTTATCACAACAACAAAGTACAATTATAAGTGATAATCCAAAAATCAATGATTCAAATACAAAATTAAATGAATCCATGATTTATACAGGTTTTTGGCATCGATTATTTAGAAAATCAAAAAGTAAGTTAAATATTCAATTTCCATGTTTTGAATGATGATTAATAGTTCACAACCTCCTTCTCTTCCAGTCGAACAAGTTATTGGAGCCTAATAGACCCTTCTGTAGAGAAATAGACCACATCAGAGCACGGCACAACTATCGGTGTTAGAATAACTGTTTTTACAATCGGTTAGATTTTGTTTCGTAGAGAGCAACTTCGTACATTCCATGCACCACTTTTGTAGATCTTTTGTCGTTCTTCGATTCAGGAGTAATTGGGCTGTGATTCTTTGTGTGTTTCGTAATCCCTTTGTGGGTATCGTTCGAGTGAGTGATTAGCTTGATCTGTACCACCCGGGTCACCGGTCACGTTAGTTCATTGAACTGAGTCCCACTGTCCAGGAGGCAAGATGAGGACGTGTGAGTCGGGTTTTGCCTCCCATGGTTAATAGTTAGGACTAGGAAATCGGTTTTGTCCTATGACTAATTCAAACTTAATATTTGTCACCATTCATAAGAGTTTATGCTATATAGTTTTGTTATATTTCATAGTTAACCATTTCAAAACTATTCATAATATGTAGTGCAGCAATAATTTAGGTGACTATCCCAGTCTCCAACATTGTACGAGCATTCCATGTACTTAAATTAATAGTTGTTCTGGTTTTCAGAATGGGCATCAACTTCGCGACTTCCGAAGGAACTCGGTTTTTACTATGAGGCGTCATAGTTCTTCTAAATGAAGGACTTCTAACTCCCAAGACACAGTTTAAATGGTATGAATTATTCTTTCTGGTTGGCGTACGTTTAGCTAGTTAGTTTTCTGTAAGATGGGGTGAAAATCCCAATGCCCAACCCTACTCCTTTATTCAGGTTTGGGACCGGCAGTAGCCCCAGGAGGCTCCAAGCGTGGTTTGATATATTCAACGCTACGAGTCAATTAGAAAGACACCTAAACATCTAACTATTCAACTTTATATATAGAGAAAATTAAGGCTGCTTAGCAGACTGTATTATAGAAACCTGAATGACAATATTGACAACTATCACGTGTCCACATAAGTCTAACCGTTTACTGGGGCCCTTTATTTTGTCGTCATTTAGATCGGACAATGTTTGTTGACGAGCTCTCCACTTTAGTGGCACGAGATCTGACTCCAAGTGGATCGTATGAATGTGTGTTATCGCCTATTCTCGTATATAATCATCGACTTAAATCGCGTTAGAAAATAACGGAATTAAATAAGTCAAATAACGAGAACGGTCTTTTGAATACATATATTTTGTATACGAAGCGAATGGAATAGAAAGAAGCGAAACAATGCGCAGTGGGGAAGGCTTGTAAGCCAACTCCATTCAATCAATATTTATAGTCACAGAAAATTAAGCTACAGACATGTGATGAATGGGATAAGAAGGGCACACACATATGCGCTCATATAAAAACAGTCTACATCGATAAGCGAATAATTAACAAGGTCAAAATACGAATTAAGTAGAATGAATAGGTTGGCCTGTTTGAAAGCTAGAATAAGGTATTTAGGCTTAACATAATAACCAACACTACAACCGGTAACTTAGGTCAGATAAAGAATTCAAGAACTTACAAAGGCGACACTCTAATTTATGGATGAGCCTATCATAAGTGTTTGGTGGATTTCAAGGTCACAGAGCTAACTTCAGTACTTAATGCTGACGTACGATCGGTTCACAGTAGAATTTTATACAAAGCGTGATAATTGAGAGGTTATAACAAGTAAAACGACGAGACTATAATTTGTGGACGAATCAATCAGGTATAAGATAACAGACCTCGAATTTTCCACGAAAGTCTTTCATCCATTTGGTTAAATAGAGTTTTGGCATTAAAGCTGATGTCAGTTCGTGATGAAAACCCTACATATAATTCCTAACTGAGGCATATTATGACAATCATTGCCAACTGGATAATAAAAGCACCAGTAGCACTGGTTGCAGCCAGGTACTACAATATATATGGATGTTTGGAGAGCGTACAGACTGCCACATAGGCTTGATTATGTGCATCGTGTCGTTATCCACAAGTGGCATTTTGTGCACTCAACAACCGGAGTGCACACAAACAATATATAAGCTATGTGGTTGAGGCTGAAAGAGTTTGTGAGAGTTTATCATGACTCCAGAATCCGACTATTCTGTAGCCGTATGGATGATTCCCTCTACTGCATGCATTACGATTTTAAAACCTCTGAACCTGTTTCTATTTTTGACAAGTTTTTGAACAACGTATAAGATGTGTATCCACTTTATTTTCTTGGTTTTGTATAACATATTTTTACTCTATGCTGAGGGTTTGCTGATTGGCTAATAGTTCTCAGAATCACTTGAAATTCGTTCAAAGGCTGTCGATAAATTATAGTCTCGCCCTTACAAAGGATCAACCATGCTTAAATATCTCACCGTGTAAAGATGAGATAGAATATAATCTGTTGGCCTTGACTAGTCATGTTCATCTACTACTTATGTAGTAAACAAGAATACAAGTGAGGACAACCGAATATACAGAATCCTTCTTGTAAAGTCTAACAACCATACAGTAAATAATTCATTTGCAAAATGTTAATCAATCGTCTCAAACTTCATTGTTTCTGTGTTTTCACAAAATTCATTCTCTGTTTTCATTCACTTATCTTGAATCTTCTTAACTTCCTGTCACCGAACATTTCACTTTCGATTGATGATGCATATACTACTTATATCTAACAACATCAGTAGTACACATTACATACTTTTACTACTGAATAGTAATATATTCATTAAATAAAATCTATTTTCTTTTCCTTCTTCCTCTTCTTAGGTTCAGACAGTGAATCATCACATCTCAATTCACCCATTATCAATGAACAACAGAATAAATTAAATATACAATCAGATCATTTACAAAATCATATTTCATATCAACATACTACTAATAGACTACTTACAAATGATGAAACAGGCGTTTCTAGACCAGTTTCCATAGAATATAATAATGATAATAATTATACTACTACAAATAATAATAGTAGTATAAAAAATTACAAAAAAACATTTGAACGTAAACATTTTACAGAATATGGACATCATCAATTTCAAATTACTTCATTATCTAGTAGAAAACAACGTTTATTACGAAATCATCCATCTTATCAGCATAATACAACACCAATCAATAATATGGATCAATCAATGAATGAAAGACAATACATTTCTGCTACTACTATTAATACTACTGATTCAACGAATATAAGTAGTCAAATGAATTCCGATAAAACAAATTTCAATCCATGTAATTTATTAAAAAGTGAATCAAAAAGTCAAAATTATTTAGATTTAGATCAATCTCCAAAAATGCGTTATGTACGTAAATTGAATACATTTGCTAGTGTACCAGATTTAACTAAAAAACCAATACGTAGTGCATTAAAAGGAAGTCGTAATAGCAGGTAAATAACAATGGATGATGATAATATGACTTATAATAAATGTTTGAGTTCGACTATCATTTATGAATGAATCAATCAAATGTATATAAGATAATAGGTCCTGAATTTTAACGCGAAATTCATTCGTTCATTTGATTCAATGGAGTTTTGACACTGGAGTTCATGTCAGTTCATAATGAAAATCATCAATGTTATTCCTAACCTTGACGATCAACGGGTTTATAATCTTGATTTGGTCCTAGTTGTTGAGTGGACACTTTCAAGATTAGTCTAGTGTCACACAACAGTCATCCATAAATTGTAGTCTCATCAATTTTTGTTTTGTTTAGTAATGTTTGAACAAAATGTTTTCAGATGAATGATGAATGGATGTATAACAGTTTACTAACCGGTAACTGGAAGATTATAATAGATTTATAGACAATAGTCAGTTAGCTACAATGTAGATTCAATTTGCCATACCTCATTATCACAACAAGATGATCACCAAATTCATAGAAGTAGTTCATTCAGTGGTACTTTGATAGCCCTTTATGTGACTGCAATGGATCGTATGAATGTTATTGAAGGATGAATATCGTCAATCCACGTATATTATTATCGACCTAACTCGCGTTGGTGAATAACGGAATTAAATAAGTCAAATATAAGGATGGATGTTTGAATATGTATATTTCATACAATCGTTGATCGGAACACACAACGAGAGAATCGCAGCAAATGAAGTGAAGAAGAGAGAGAGGAGCAAAACGAAACGAAGTGAAAGGAAAGGATGTGCAGTCGAGACGGCGTGTGAGCCAACGCAATTTAATTAAGGGTGAATCTATATTTATAGTCACACCAAAATAAGTTACAGACATGTGATGAATAGTATAAGAAGGGTACATACATATACGCTCATATAAGAACAGTCAAGGTTGATCAGTGAATAATTAACAAGTTCAAAACGTGACTCCATAAGAATTGATAAATTGCGCTGTCCCGTAGTTAGAATAAGTTATATGGGCTTATTTTAAAAAAAAGATTGCATATAAAGATATAGTACTGGAAGAAAGAATTAGTACGTAGAAAGGAAGGTGTAAATTATTTTAATCTGATGGTTTAAGGGAAGACAAAAAGTACATACATCTATGACATTATGATCGATTCTGTGCCATGTCACAGTGTCACAAACCACTGGTTACGATAGTCTCACCGACCCCAACCAAGTAGTCCGTATGTACCAATATGGCGATATGATTTCAACAAAATATCAATAAGTAATGATGTTGATTGACTTGAATTAAGAATTAATCACATCACGTTTACTACTGTTCATTTACAACTGCATAAGACCTTTATTTGCTTTTTTCACGTATCTATAATACTACTTAATAAAATCGTAGGTAGTTTGAGTATATCAGATGATTATCTCGTGCTCTGTTCTATCAATTTCAATGTCTTCAATCTCAAAAGTGTAGTAGTACCTCTTTTACGCAAAAAGCTAATTGAAAGTTTTTCAAATCTTGAATAATACGACTAATCTTGAAAGGTGACCTCAATTTTTTCATCACTTAGGTAGGATTTTTTGTAAAGATTTCTCAGTCTAATGGCTGGTTTCATGAGGGACTGAATTTTGCTAGACAATTACTGTAGCTCTAGATATAGTAAAAAAGTGGAAAAGATTTATAGCTCAAGTGGATGATTACTATGCATAAACATAGAAACAAAAATCAAACCAACGGGATATACAACCAAAACAAAGAAGTAAACAGTAACATGTTTGAGATTAACAAGAATCAATTAATATCGAGGTGTACAGAACAAGCTGTGAACCACATATGGAGAAATTCGAACACTTCACTTCTACTTGAAGTTTGTACTGATGATGTCGTTCAGAAGAACAATGAAAGCTCCACAACTTAAACATCTAGCTCAAAGAACAAAACTCTATCAAAATATATTAAAAAGTTTCTGTTTTTGTTTCACAATTTTTATTAATACACTCTGACAACCATAAAATGGATTGATCACATGACTACTTTTCCTTGATTTAATAAATCATAACCGGTAGATTTAGTTTTCTGAGGTGCACATAGATTGTTTAATCATATTGTATTCTGTTCCTTAATTATTATAATCACTTAGACATTGATACATAATGATATCAATGGATAGTTGAAAATGTTTTCTCACTTCCGAGTGTACTATGATAATGAGATCAGTCACGTTATATGAATTCTTAGTATAGGTATAGTTATGACTGGACTTAACACTAGGCAGACCCACGCCGGTCATTTCTTTTATTTTACAAATAGTGTCCGCAGAAATTTCGTTGAATTTTGCCGGTTTAGTATTCCTTTCATAGATCCCTATCATGAACACGTCACTAAACCTTGGGGCAACGATCCGTCCTAATATAGGCCATAAATGTTGACTAGGGCTTCTTGAAATAGAAAGGTCATATATATTAATATACAAATCTAAAGTATCAAAATCAGAAGTACACAACCAAAGTTCTTAGCAGATTGGTTTTCAATCCGACTTAGTAGTAAACCCCACTTCCGATGAACTATGGTTGAACACTTGTGCATGTCCTCAGGACACTCCTGATGCTGCTCGGTAAATCCGGAACAAGAACTCGGAAACCATTCAGAATCTGATCAGCATCTCTGATACTCAGAGAGGTTGCTGTAATTAAATTCATCAATATATCGTTGATCTGATCTTTACGATTTACAAACATCTGAGAGCACAAATTAACGTCGTGACATCCTATAAGGAATATATTAACGTATTCATTTCATATACATACCATTATTATCTAGAAGACTTTCATTGCTGTAGCTAGTGGATGGTGTTACAGTTGAAGTACTGTCATTACAATTAATTTCTCTGTAGACTGCTATCAATTCAAGGTAAAGTCAGTTACCTTAGATCATGCTTTCATTATCAAATTGACTAAAAGAATGCAAGTTATGTTTTTTCACCGTCTGTTGTAAGTCGATCTATTAAAGCCAAGGATGCTTGAAAAGTTAAAATTTGCCCTACGTCCACGAGCTCTCTTAGTGACTAATTGAACTTATCATAGAGGACTAACAAGGTAATTAGTTATAATGAACATGAAAAACAAAGAGCATGTCATTCACTTGTATGACGTAAGTTATTTTTGATGGCTACCAAGCATGTCGGAATACTTTAGCTAGGCAAAATCAAAGTGTATATGCACCTTAGCCAAATACCTATGTCCGTATTTTGTTAACGATAATAGTCTTGGTTTTTTCTATTAAACAGTGTGTTATTTTGTCGGCGTTTATAAAAACATAAGTACAGGATGCGGCATATTCAAAGACCGTACGTTACGAATGATTGTCGACAAATTTCCTCCAAATACACGACGTAAGGGGGGGGGACAATCGACAATTCCCTTAAACAACTGACATGAAGGCAAAAAAGCGACATTTGCTCTTTATTGGTTGCCTGAGTAGGACAGAGTGGGTTAAAGAATGCTTGTTGGTAGCCTATGCTCCATTGGGAGTAACATTTGAAATGAGTATCAGTTTTCAATATTATATTTCCGGTAAAATTTAGAATTCTCAGTACAAAGTATTTCAACAAGTCACCTTTTCTCATTCCTTCATCTATCCTAACGGTGAATATTGAGTGATCACCAGTTAGATGTTAACACTTCAGGAATCGATATCTAAATCGTGTTCATTCTTTTCAATGCATATTGACATTCATTACAATGTGTCTGATTGTATTTTTCTGTAAGTTCTACGGTGAAAAATCGTAAACTTTACATTTACGCGCCTAAATAGTTTATACGATTCATAGACACCATAATATGTTAAAATAAACAAATGACAGGCAACTGATTTAGACATAGTAGTAGGCGGTATTCAGTAATATAATTCTTAAACTTCGTATACAAATCGTCCTGATAACCATCACGTGATAACACCCCGACGGTGTATTAATCAGAAAACGAATAGGAAGTGTTGATTAAGTTTATTATTACATCACGCACAAATAACCAAATTTACAAGTATGTTAAAGAAAGAATAGTGTCAAAAAGCAAGCAGGCAAGCGAGTGAGCCGAATGAGCGAGCCGACGAGTTAATGAATAAGATTAAAATGTACATATAATACATACATATGAATCAATTAAGCAACTAATAATAATAAGGCTAGCACAATGAATATATAAGTAGACAGAGTAAGCAAAGCAATGTTCAAGCATACATATTCATACAAAAGTGTAACACTAATAAAGGTACAATCATATAAGATAAGTTGTTATTGTACGAATGAACAAAAGGGCTTAATCAAATGAACTATGAACAAACTCAATTGCCCATGATCTGGTATAATAATGTTGATGTCAGAAATAAGGTATCTCAGAGATATTCAAAAAGGGTCACTTCAATTTTCTTCTTTTATTTTGTTACCATCTAGTGTACATCGATCAATACATGAACATGAACATGAAGATGAACATGTTACTATGTCACCAAATCCTTTAAATTCTGATTCATTTTCATTAACACCACCAACACCAAATGAAATAAGATATTTATTCAATGATCAATTAAATGATTTATCCAATACAATTATGAATACGAAACCAATGATTAAAACAAATTTCAAAACATTCAATGATTCAAATGAGTTACCAAGTCAATTAGATTTATCTAATAAAAATAATCTTAACATTGAATATAGTGAATATTCACCTGAATTAAAACGATTAAATAAGAACTATTATGAATCATTTCAAGAAGATAAGAAAGAAGAAGAAGATCATGAAGATGACATGAAGAATTCAAAGAAAGTAAACATAACATATGATAATGAAACGAATGATAATATAATTGAGAATAACGATATGATAGAAGATGATAATGAAGATAATGTTGATTCAAATGCATTAACTCCACGATTTCATTCAAAAGTAAGCGATTTTCTTTTTCTCTCTATTTTGACAATATCTAAGCGATTTAGGTATAGAACATTTCGAATTGTTCACTTGATTCTACTCTCCTGGTTGGAGATTTTTGTGTGGGTCACTAACCTCATGCCCAACCTTCTTCCTTTATCCGGGCTTTGAACCGGCAGTAGAGCCAAAGGTGCTCCTGGCGGAGTTGATTAATTCTACTACTATATGACTTACAGATAGTTGTATTAGTTAGTTTCTACTATCCCAACTGTTTATGGTCGTAATTTCAAGTTATCTCTTTCTATTACTGCATATACATGTCCAACTGAAGGATTCTAGTTGTTTGATTAAGGATCATCAAAGGAATCTTTACAAACAGCATAGATTGAGTAAATCAACTTAGGAACAAGTAATTCGACAACTTTGATTTTATCAATATGAAAAACTAGCAGTATACAAGAAGCGACTGAAAATATTTGGCTGAATTATCATCACGTAGTTATTTTCTCTCGTTCATACTGAACACTGTTTTAACAATTGCTATGATTCAGTTATTTCATTATAAGACTAGCAAAAAGAAACAAAGTGTTTTAAGCTACTCATTAGTAGTCAAATAGAAGTTACTAAAATATCCAATAAACATTATAAACATATTTGGATTACTGTCACTAATACTGTACTTATTCATTCGGATATAAACTAACTGAGCTGTTTGATGTTTAACTAGTTAAAGTCCTATGTTTTTAATTAGCTTATATTGTGTAATTATGGACTGATCACCGGGTAAGTAATACTGATGTTTAACTAGTTAAAGTCCTATGTTTTTAATTAGCTTATATTGTGTAATTATGGACTGATCACCGGGTAAGTAATACTGAGGTCAGACACAAGATATTAGGGAATGATGGTAAATCAGTTGAGGAGATTGTGAATATTCATCAACTGAGATGGTTGAGTCACGTGTTAAGTATGCCTGAACATTAATTACCACGACACGCAATGCAAACTAGTGTCGGGGATTGTTGGAAGAAGTTTAGGGATGGCGAAACTGACCAAAACGTGACATCGGTCTAGAAAGTCACTAACTTCTGATCTGAGTCATGTTGGTGGATGCAGACTATTTGGTTGATGTCCTCTTGACTATCGTAATCCATAGTTGGAAACTCTGTGTGACATGGCTCAGAATCGATCACACTGGCGTAAGTGTATACACTCTCTGTCTTCTATTAAACTGTGAGATTAAAATTGCCTTATACCTTTCTTTTTAATTCTTTCTTCCTGTATTATATCCTTATACACAATCTTTCTTTTATATATTACCACCATTGAATTAACTACTTCTATGAATTCGCTGTTCACGTTGTTGTGTTAATGAGGTATGGCAACTTGGGCTGATGTATATGTGTGCCTAGTCCTACGTTGTAGCTGACTGACTGACTGACGGATGAATTGATTATAGTCAGATAAGCCATTCCATATTTTGTCGAAGCCTAACAAGTTGACACCTAGAAGTGTCTAGACAATGTGCATTCCGATTATAATTAAATACGTTCAACTTTACATTTAGAATCTTTTGTAAAAAAACACATCAATTTGGCTTTTTATACAGAATTCTATTCCATATTCAAATTTCACAAAAATGTTGTTGATAAGTTTCTTTGAATAGTTGAATTCATGAATCGATTGAAGCTAGACCATCTTGGAGTCCCATACTCGGAGGAAACGACCATCCCGTTCTTCTAGGTTTTCCAAGTTAGTCTAAATTTAGTTGACTCATGAATTTAACTATTAAGATTACTACCGATTCCATAAAACCCCTTTCTGAAAAGGTTAATTCATTAGAACTAAAATATGCTTCTTTGTTTTGTAATGTTATCACAGCTCTTGAGACGTGATAGTATGGAATGTTACCTTGAGACAAACAAAGCACATGATGTACGTCATGAAAGGGATCATTCTCTTTCCGATCTTACTGAAGATGTGATAAACGGAAACCATTCTTTTGGTGATTCAACAAATGGAACGACTGACTTAGTAGAGGAGGAAGAAGAAAATACGAGTGATGATGATGACGACGACTGTGAAAATAGTGCCGATTCCTTGTCCAATTCAATAAAAGATGAGTACTCACCTAAACCTTTGATAACTGAAGTACTTTCACCTTCTTTATGTGCCAGTGGTTATGGTCCAGTTGGGCACTTGTTAACAAGATGGTTACCTCAAAGACATTTCTGTGAATTATTAATTGGAAGCAATGAAAGTCCAGGTAAGATAAACAACATTGTTACTATCTATTTGTTTGTCAGATTGAATTCACTTCATAAGTTTATTTAGTTTTTAAAATGATTAGGGAAATGATGTTTTTCAACAAATTAACCTTCATCCTTTGGGCTAAAGTTGATGAATTGGAAAGAAAAGCTGAATAATCATGTATAGATGAAAAATCCCCATCCTGTTAATGATAATAAGATGATTGGTCGGCAAGACTATAATCTGTGGATGACCTTCGAACAAAAATCTTTTGTATTGGTACGCACTCCAATCATCCGTATATATTGCAATACCCGGTAGCAGCCAGTGTTACTGGAACTTTTATTATCCCGTCCGTAACACTTGTTGTAAGTTGAATTAGTCTCACTCTGAATCGAGCGAAAATATCCTATTCTAGCAGACTTCTTCCTCCAACACATACTACATCGGAAGACAGCATCATCACGGTAGTCTGCACAAGGTTCACAAGTCACTTGATTACCACGATCTCAAATAAAGGAACTTCTTAAAAGTCCAATTTGTTATAGTCGCTCAATTATCACGTTTTATCTAACTTCCTCTATGAACCGATCGTACGTGAGCATCACGTACTAAAATGGGCGCCGTGGCCTTGAAATTCCTGAAACTCTTCTGATTGGCTCGCCCATAAATTATAGTCTCGCCATTACTGTGACCACATAAGAAAAAACAGAGGCATTGAACATTTGTTTTATACACAAAGACTACAGTTATTGACTTTCACTCCTTTAGCTTCCATCTTATGTAAAAGATGAGATCCAACTCTTTCTATACATTGCTTAAATAGAGAACATGAAATTCAATATATTTAAAAGGATTAACTTAATTCATCTTAATGAGAGTCAGCTCTCTCTTTTGAAATTCTGTAACATGACCATGTGCATACAATCACTGTCAGGGAAGTCCTAATCACTGCTTCCTCGAGAAGGGGGTGTATTTCACGAAATTGAGAGGACAAAAAGTGAATGTCCGACACTTTAACCGGGTCGATGGATACGTTGAGTCCACCAAGTGTAGTTGGAAAACCGTGATTTCAAACCAATGCTGTACATGAGCTACAGGATCCTGACTTAACAAATAACGCATGAACCAATTATTGGTCGCCGATTACCATGAGACTGCATCTCCTGACGTTGCTCTATTGCCTTGTGAATTTGATTTTTAGATTAAAGGCTCCGAGTGTAGTAGTAGAGGATTTGATAAAAGAAAACATAATCTATGATTAAACGAATACATTATTGAATTATTAAAGAGATATATTTTGCTTAAACTTATCTTTTAGATACTTCAGAAGAGGCTAAATGGTTAAGAAGAAAGGAGTTATTAAAAGAACTTGCTAGAACTGTAAGTTTATCTCAATTTATTTTATTCTCAATATAAAATTGATGTAGACAATGACCTATGGAAAATGTTCAATGAAACAAACGAGTTTTATTCTGTACTGTTGCTGTAATAAAGTCAACTATACAAGTAGATTTATAATGCAATTAACTATTAGGTAGATGAATGTTGTTCAATATTAGACTAGTCATGGATATATTCATGTGAACTAAGAGATCGCTTAGTAAGTAACCGTAGCAACCTAACGAGAAGGTTAATTGATGGCCATTAGAAGTGACCTGAAGAACAAGTGCATTTCATTGGTTAAGAAATGAGTCAAAAGTTTTACGGATTGAAATGGTATTTATCTATATATGAATGAGCATTTGTACATTTTATCCGATGGTCCCCTTAAATGCCGTGGTACGGCCGAAAGTTCGCTTTTCCTCTCGAGATGCTCTCACATGGCCATATGTATATAGCTTCTGCCAGGGAAGTCTTACTCACTGCCTTCTCGTGGCGGGGGTGTTGCTTACGAAATGGAGAGGACGAAAGGCGAACAGCCGGCGCTTTAAACGAGTTGGTGGGCACAGAGAGTGAGTTATTCACGAAACTGAGGAAGACGAAAAGCCAATATCCAGCGCTTTGACCAGGTTAGTGAACACGAAGAGTCCACCTAGGGGAGTTGGAGGACCGTGATTCTAAATCAATGGTGCACATAAGCTGGCTCCAGTATCCTGAACGAACAAATGGCGTATGGACCAATTGTTGGTCACCGGCTACCATGGGACTGCATCTCCCTACGTTGCTGCACTGCCTAGTGGATCAGACCTTCAGGTCGAAGGTTCCGGGTGTGGCCTCCTAAGAAAATCCTCTGCTTCGGTCTGGGCACCCATGCAGTATCATATCACACATATCAAATGAAATCTGTGTGGCGTATATGTATTTTGTTCCTCCTTACACCAATATCTATGTGGTAAAATAAATAAATAAATGAATAAATATCTGATAGTCCAATGGATTTTCTCACTCTGGTAGTCAGTTGGGAGATCAGCACATAGCATACGATGTTTCACTATCAGATTGTAGATATCACCTGTCATAATACTTAGATGATATCTTTAAAAACTCACTAATTTTCAGCTATCAATCCAGTCCGCTCTAGTCAGAATCAAAGGATATACACAAAATATTGATCAAATCATAACTATACAAAGAAAGTACAAATTGCAACTTGGTCGATAGTATTCGATCTGCACTAAGAAGGACTTGACACACAAGACATTGACCACAACCCAGTAATCAATCAATTGTGAATATATCTCAGTACTACAGGAGGTTGGTTGCGGTTTGGACAGCCCAGTGGTACCGTCTCTGACTGTGAAACTGGGTGATACGTGATCGAATCGGTCAGGGATCTCCAGTTCCCACAAGAATACAGGTAAACTTTGCTGACGAGTACCAAGTAGCACGAAACCCGGGTCCAGGGTTTCCTGCTGACTACCTCCAACCACTATCTTATCTCAACATAGTGCACGAAATGTTGATTCACCTAGACTAGTGGCCACATTGCAACTTGGTCGATAATATTCGATCTGCACTAACAAGGACTTGACATTGATCACCATCCAGTGATCAATCAATTGTGAAAGTACAAATTCATGCAATAACTAACTTCTAGTCAACAATCGCATATCTGATTTAACTTAGATAAAATATAATCACCATTCCTTTGTATTCTCGATCCTTGTTTTTCAGTCATCTATCTATACAGAAGGTATGACACAAGAAATGTTTATGTTAAGATTTTCTGAATTCGTTGAAGTACAAGAATTGGAACCATGTGATCGCAGTGCTGATAAACCATGGATAAGATTAACATCAAAAGATAAAGTAAGTAATGATCTTTCTAATCTTCTGCCTCCAGATATCTCATTTTCAATTGATGATATATACTACTTATATATGTAGATATCAGTAGAATATACCACAATTGTTGTGGAAAAGATTTTATTTTAAGAATATGACTCGAGAAGAAACTGTTAATTCGAAGAATAAAACAAAAAGTGAATACACCTGAGACATAAAAAAGAATTCTGAGCAACACTAAGCAAGTTTTTCAACCTAATAATCATAAAAGTCGTACGAATCTTAATCAAGCAGCCTGAATCAATCTATAAGAGCTAGTGCCACTTATTTATTCGGCTACTCTTAGCCATCTTAGCACGCAAACACCATGTATAGATAATTTATAAAACAAGCTGACCTTAGTTAAACAACCGTTGGTACTGTGAGACAGAGAGTCTTGTATTCAATAACCGATAGGGTCATGGTTGTGTACTGCTGGGAAATTTCATACTAAGAAGAAACGACTTTAATCTGAGACTTATACATAGCAATTTTTGTCCATAAAGTCTTATGAAATCCATAAGCTTTAAGTTTTCTGCAAAATACAATCCCTTCAGAAAACAGACGAAACTTAGCTATCCATAATTCTAAATTAAATTGAGTTTGATATAGCAGTACAAGAATTTATAAATAGTTGTCTACGCAAGATACCCAACATCCATTGGCCGGATACCATCAGCAGCAGCCTTCTATGGGGGAGAACAAACCAGCTTACAGCTGAAGAGGAAATTTAAAAAAGACGATGAAAATGGATAGGACATACATCATGCAAATCATCAAACTGCATCACGAGGGAAGCCCTAACATGGAATCCTGAAGGGAAACGGAAAGAGGAAGGCCAAAGAACACATTACGTCGTGAAATAGAAACAGATATGAAGAGGATGAATAACAACTGGAAGGATCTAGAAAGAATTGCCCAGGACAGGGTTGGATGGCGAATGCTGGTGAGCGGCCTGTGTTCCTTCACGAGGAGTAACAGGCGTAAGTAAGTTGATATTACAGAATCACAATTCAGTGCCGCCATGAATACTCATTTCATTATCCAGATGGTTGAGTTATATAAATCATAAAGAATTACAGGAAATTCGAGAATTCATCACAAATTTAAATGCTATTTACGGATGGTTTCTGTCTATACACTGAAGTTATTTGAGCAAATTACCAGTCTAAACTATAATTTTTCAGATCAATTTGAGTCCCACAGTGAACATTAACTCTAAGATGCAAGTAAATCCAGCTGACGAATCCAAAATAGGACGAAACGAGCGTCCTGGATTCCACTGCTAGCCACTACCCATGTTTGCTTAAATCTGTTTCAACTGTCAAGTTTCCATTTTAATGTGTACGCTACTTATATGGACAGATATAAGTAGTATATAAACACCAATAGGAAGTGGAAACTCTGGCATTAGATAGCTGAGAAGATCAAGTTGACGAGAAAACAGTAACATAAATAAAAAGGAATTGTGACTTGGAAGAAACATACAGAATATGAAAAACAAATGATGAAATTTCGCAAATGAAGTATTCAATGTATGATTCTCATATTTTACGAAGAGATTCTGTACTATGCCTAGTTATTCCCACCTGATTCTTCGTTCATGACAGTGTCCGGTTTATCGTTTATTTCTCACTGGTAATCGAAATTTATAGTACATTGAATGGATTGTTTTGATGGGTCAACCATATTAATACTAAACCACAGTTTGGTTTTAAGACAAAGGAGTAATCAAACCATTCTAGAAATTACATATTGACAAATAACGGGAACTTGGAGAAAGTTGTCAGGTTATTCATATTGATAAAGAATTCACGCAATGAATCCAACTACACAAAGCAGTATTGATGCTGTGGAACGAAAACACTTTTTCATTCTTTAGTATCTGTATGCTAATAAAAAATATTAACAAATGATATAACCCAACGACCGAAAGAAAAGCACAGGACAAAGTGGGCTGGAGAATGCTGGTAAGCGGCCTATGCTCCATTAAGGGTGACAGGAGAAAGTAAGTAAACCCAACAACCATAGCATATACCCAGCAACAAATATTATATTTTAATTTTGCCCGTTAAAACAAAGACAAACCAATAAAAGAGGTTAGTAGATAAAGTTTAAATGTTTTTATTAGTTGAATTCATGAATCAATTAAAGCTAAACCACCATGGAAAACCAATAAGCACTAGGGAAACGTTTCATTCTAGTATGGCTTGCACACTGCTGAGGAGTCTCATACTAGGATGAAACGGCCATCCAGTGCTTCCAGGTTTTCCATGGAAGTCTAGCATTAATTGATAAAGGAATTCAACTATTAACTTACGAAAACCCCTTTTCTGGTAACATATGTTTTGTGTCAAATATATCCAATTCAGGCACAGATTCGTAGAGAGTTAAATGATTACAAAATGGCTGAAATGGATGTACATCAAGACAGTCGACAATTCACCAGGTAAATGTTAATTATTTTTGTATGTATAGAGTTGTTTATCTATGATTAGTTTATGTATATCTGATAATTGTAAAAGAAACAACCCTGTTACATTTGAATTGGAGCTTTTCTACAAAGTAACTTGAGTAATCGTTTCTTTGTTAAAATTACTGATAATGATTCCAACCAGGTTTGCTATGAGATAGTAACTCACTAAAGAAAATTGTGAACGGTGGCTCAATTTCATGGATTGCTTGAAGATAGACATTAACACGGTTGGATGCCGACCGGCTCAGTGGTCTAGAGGTTAAGCGTTCGCGAGCGGGACCGAGATGTCCCAAATCCCGAGATGAGGGATCCTGGGTGCGCACTGCTGAGGAGTCCCACAATAAGACGAAACGGCCATCCAGTGATTCCAGGTTTACCTAATGCTCTAGCTTCAATTGACTCATGAATTCAACCATACAATTACTATAAGATACACAAAAGCCCTTCTGATGATAATGATTTAACCAATTTGGAGATGATATTTTAGAGGGAGTAACTTTTGTTAGAGAAAAAGTGATAAGTAGGAACCTATGATGAAGAATGCTGGCGACCGACCGGCGTAAGTAGGTAACTTAATCATGGCTAGGTTCTAAGTGATTACTGGTGTCTAGTCTGTAATTTAAACGAAATGATTTTTTTGTTGTTTTGTTTAGTTTTACAACTGTTACTACTCTACCACTTCATTAACAGATTTCGTGGGAGATATAGAAATTCTTATTATCACATACTTTAAACAAATGATTTTACGTTTTTGACGGACAAATCATTTTTAGATCATCAACATTGATGATCTCTGTTAAACGACCGGAGGCCTATTCGAGTTAGACGGGAATAGTGTGACGAACCAACTAACTTCAAAGTCACACTTCGCGGTCAGCATCTAACATGGATTACCTCTTCGACATATCAAGGTACTATACCTGCTTTGAAGACAGTAAAACACAAAGGACGTCATTACAGGAATATCTTAATAAGAATGGGTACAGAGCAGATAGTGAGACAACCACTACATGGACCAGTCGATGGCATACGATAAAGTGATGCGCGTTGGTTGCCTTTGACTCTGACAGGGATCAACGATCTGTTCGATATTCAGTGACCCAACTGCCGGATCATTTGACGAGGGCTCAGTGATGACTCACATTTTACTTTGGTTAAGGATTTGTCCCAGAACGTTTTTGTTCTACATGTTTATGTGAATAGGTCAGTCTCGCGCGCGAACGCTTAGTATCTAGGCCACTGAGTCGGCATTCAATAGTATTAATGTCTAAACTCAACCAATCCGCGAAATTGTGCGGCTGTCTTCCATTTTACTGAAGTAGATACCTGTCTCTACCCGACACGGATTAGCTCCACTGGCCACAGCTTCTCAGGAGAAGCTCCAAGAATCCCCTTCAACATCAATCGATTCATAATCTCAATCAAAAACTTAATAATATCCACAACCGTATACTGCGAAAGCATTGTGTTTAGATTAACATTTAGTAAGCAGTTGTTATCAATTCATTTTAGTATATCATTTCACTAAAACATTTTACTACTAAAAAATTTACTTTTTTGCTTTTTATCGAACAGATTTCATCCTCCGTAAATATTTGTGTAATAACTCAATCAAGATGGGCAAACTCTATTCCATCTTACCGAATTCATCTTTTTCATGTATGTACATCTGTGTATACCATCCTCCACATAACTGTCTATGAGTATGTATGTGTACGGATGTGTATACATGTCAATGAATAAATATGAACCCAATAATAACTAATCTGTTGTATAATAAAGAAACTATTTGTTCTATGAATGAATCAGAATTTCATCTCATTTCTATAGAGTGATCCAATTATTCATTTACATACATCAAAAGAGGATCATCTTCGATTATTAATAACACATTAAAACTAATTGTATATAACTTATCAATGTATCTCTAGTATGAATTAGGTGTTGCAAATTGATGGAAACCTTTTACAAAAACAGAACAGTTCAAAAAGAGAATTCACATTGTGTATGTATGTTTACATTAGCAACTAAAGGGAACTAAAACACACACACGCACACAAAGAAAATGATGTCGCCAAACAACATGAATCATTCATAACAGTCATATTCTCTTTTTGTTTGCTTTTTCTTTCATCAGTTGAGAGAGAGAAAAAAAAGGAACATAATTGACCATTATATTTCGATGTATTATAAATTACAATTTCGATTTTCGTAATTCATTTATTTACAACAACAAAAAGGTGATATAGACATAGTTACAATTCATTGATTTTGGTGTAATTTTTAAATAGATTGTAACTATGCAAATATTTAAAATGTCCCCTGACAACAACAAATTTATTTGTATATAAATGTTTTAATAATAAAGAAACGAAAAAAGAAAGAAAAGAACAGAAGAATTCAATAATACAATTTGTTCTATCAATAAAGAGATAATGGTCTAGCAATGCAATTCAGTAATTCATTATATTTTGGTGGAGTTTTGTTCTCTGAGCTGGATAGTTTGGTCGTGGAGCTTTCATCGTTCTTCTGAACGACATCATCATCAGCACAAACTTCAGATAGAAGTGAAGTGTTCGAATTTCTCCACGTGTTTCACAGCTTGTTCTGTGTACCTCGATGTTGATTGGTTCTTATTGACCTTAAATTTGTCATTGTTTACTTCTTTGTCTTGGTTGTCTCCCATTGGTGTTTGATTTTTTGTTCCTATATTTATGCATGATTTTCCTGATTGGTTGATAAATTGGATTGATTTTAATATGTTTGTTGATTGCTCTGAGGGCCAGGCTTCTAAAAATTATCTGGTGTTTTTGGAGTTTCCTCTGTCTAAGATTTCCACATTTTTCCAATCGAATGAGTGTCTGAGGTTATCCAAGTGTATTGATATGAGTGAGGAGATACCATGGCGTTTGACTGCTAATTGATGTTTATGTAGGCGAAGGTGAACGGGGCGTCCGCTTTGTCCGATGTAGTGTTTTTCGCAGTTAGCACAATTTATTTTGTAGATGATGTTTGATTTGTTTTCCTTTGTTATTTCATCCTTTGGTTTGCATAGGATTGATCCTATGATATATCCTCACTCGTTTCAATACACGTGGATAACTGCGGACACTCATTCGATTGGAAAAATGTGGAAATCTTAGACAGATGAAACTCCAAAAACACCAGAGAATTTTTAGAAGCCAGGCACTCAGGTCCACGATCAAACCATCCAGCTCAGAGAACAAAACTCCACCAAAATCATTCAACTGAGCTACAAATCTTCGCCACCGTCTCAAAATCCATAATGTATTTTTGTGTATAAAGCTTGTGATTCTGAAGACTATCGAAACAGTTCACACAGGATTTGATTGTTGTTACAGAATACCAACATATTAAAAGTTTATGTAGTTGCAGAAGGAAGTTCAGATGATTTATTAGACATAACTGATACTTAGCTATATCAATAAAGAACTGCCTTTGTGACTGAAGCATTTGACTACTTTCAGATTCATCTGCACAATTTACCTATTTTTTTTAAGGCAATCGATTATTAGTACAATTTACTATTACACTAAAAGTGGGCTTTAAGACAGAGCACATAAAACTATATTTCATATATGAGTTACATTTCTATAGGTGCTTTTTCGTCGTACTTTTCTTGCCTTTTTGTTCTCTTATATGACGGTAAAGTGTATGCAATGTGTGAAATGCGTTTATGGATGGACGATAATGGTCGAGATTGAGCTCAGTTATTTGAGGGTCAGTCAGCTACAATGTAGGACCACGCATATATATGCATCGGTCCAAGTTGCCATACCTTATTAACACAACAAGATGAACACCAAATTCATAGTAGTTAATTCAATGGTGGTTATGTATAAAAGGAAGATTGCATATAAGGACTTAGTACGAGAAGAAAGAATTAGTTCGTAGAAAGAATGATATGAAGTGATTTTAATCTCTTAGTTTAACGGAAGACAGAGAGTGTATACACCGACGCCATTGCGATCGATTCTGAGCCATGTCGCACAGTCTCCAACCACTGACTACAAGTCACACCGACACCAACCAATTAGTCTGCATCTACCAACATGGCTCAGATCAGAAGTTAGTGACTTCAAGGACTGATACCATGTCTTGGTTTGGCCGCCACTAACTTTCTTCCAACCGTCTCCAAAACTAGTAAGCGTTGCGCGTCGTGGTAATCGGTGTTTCAGGCATACGTAACATGTGGCCCAACAATCTCAGTCGATGAAGATTCACAACCTCATCAACTGATACACCACTATTTCCTAATATCTTGCGTCTAACCTCCCTATTACTTACCCGGTGATCCCAGGAGATGCAAGCAATCTTTCTAAGACATCTGTGGTCAAATACTAGTAACGTGCCAGTATCTTCACTTAATGGTCAGATTTCGCACATATAAAGAAGAACAGAACGAACTGCTGCGCAGTATACTTATCCCTTAATTGATAAAATGACATCTTGCCTTCGCCAAAGGTCATGTAAATTGGCAAAAGCCTAACGAGCTTTTCGAATCCGTGCTGAGATTTCGTCAGACAACAACGCATTAGGGCTGATTAGACTTACAAGATTGGCATTGTCTACGCGTCCAACTACTTCACTCCCTATTTTTAGTTCAGGTGTTGACGCAGACGAGTCCTGGAGTAACAACTTGTATTTTGAGGGAGAGAGGCACAATCCAGATATTCTGGCATTGTTGCTCAGTGCTACCAGAAGACTGCATTTTATCAGTGTCTTCACCAAACAGGACTATGTCATTTGCGTATTCTAAGTTGATAAGTGGACCTTCTGGTAAAAGATCAATGCCCAAAAGTTCAGTCGATCAGAGGGTTATTTCCATTAGTAGGCCTTTGTTCAAGTTAAACAAAAATGGAGAAAGTGGGCAGCCTTGACGGACACAATTTGAGGTTTCAAAATCAGATGACAGTTCGCCATAAGCTCTCACTCGACTAGTAGTGTTCGAGTAAACAGCCTTCACAAGATTTATGTACTTCTGAGATATGCCATTCAATGACAGACACTGTCATAGAATCTTGCGGTCTACGGAGTCAAATGCTGCCTTTAAGTCAAGAAAGACCACCATTGTCGGACGCCAGTAAGCATGTTTGTGTTCTGAAACTTGACGAATAGTGAATATGTGGTGGATGCAGCAGTGACCAAGTCTGAAGCCGAACTGATTATTTCGTATTTGCAGTTCACGGGTCTTATTTGATGGATATATATACTTCGATTCAGCTTGCGAATATAGCTCCCTATTCATTCTTAGTCTTCTGACTGATATAAGAGGTTGAACTCGAATTATATGAAGCATGTATATCGGCAAATGAATAAGAAAACCGCCGAAAATAACAGTATATAAAACTGTTATAGTAATAGATGATACATTTTAAGTTTTATCTTAGATGTTATGTTGATAGTTATTATTTGTTTATTTCAGCACATGAATATTGGTACAAAGAGGCACCAAATACATATGCACCACACAAATCTCATTCGATATGTGTGAGGGTTGTGATATTGCCCGGGTGCCCAGACCGAAGCAGGTGGTTTCCTTAGGGTTAGTTATGAAAATCTTCAATCTGTGTGCATATACCTGTGTATGTAGGCGCATATGAAAAGTAACAATTCCTATCATGATGAATGTTATTGTTATTCTTTACATGGTTATTGAATAATTTATAATTACAATATATTTTTCAGAAATTATGTAACAAACATACATTTCATCTATGACGCAATCAATGCACAAACACACACGCACACATCCTACACCCTATATAATATGCAGCACTCAACATATATAAAACCAACCATAGAGTATATAGCACATTGAATAAAACGAAAGAAAAGAAAAACAGTTACTAGTTATCTTCTCATTATCTTTATCGAATAAATTAAACTGATGTCTAAATATCAGAGAGAAAGAGAGTAATAAAAATGAATAAAAACATAATTCATGTGATATACAAAGTTATAATAGTATCCATGTCTAAAAACGGTCTACATACAAATTTTAAGCTTAGTTTACAACGTATATTCCTCCTTTGATTAACCTTATAGGAAAACTAAATGGATTATGAATTTTGTTTAGAAATAAAAAATGAAAAGGGAGGGGGGCAGAGGATGATCAAAATCTACACACATAAATGAGAATCATTTTCATTTAAATGAACCACACACACACACAAAAACAGAAGAAGAATTATGTGACACATATTGAATAAGAGAAAAAGAGAGGATGGTTGACAATTTAAAAACTTCAACTCACAAGTCAGTAACTAGTAGGGAGTATCTGAGTGGGTTCAGTCATTTGTATACATATAAATATGATAGGGTAAGTCAGATTTCAATGTTTACAACTGAATTTTTAGAATAGTAATAATAACAAATAATAACAGCAACACCAGCAGAAATTGTGATGGTGGTCATCATCGTCGAATTTTATAGTTTTTTCGTGTTGAAGAAGAAGGAACAAAGAAAAACATCACTTGTTGTGTAACATATTTTTACATGGACACACGTCGATATCAGACGAAATTGTATAAGGTAATAGATATTCACCTGAAATATAGAATTAGATAAAATGAAAATTATTAGTATAGGGTTTTGGAGAATATTAAGTTTTTGATTGAGATCATGAAACGATCGTGAATGTGTACTGCTGAGGAGTCCAGTGCTTCCAGGTTTTTAATGGTGGTCTAAAATCAATCGGTTAATGATCTCAATCAAAAAATTAAAATTGAAGTGATAAGAGAAGCTATTAATATGAATATATATATATATATATATATATATATATATATATATATATATATATATATATATATATATATATATATATATATATATATATATATATATATATATATATATATATATATATATATATATATATAGTACTCGCAAGTAGTTTGAATGAATTTAGCAAAAAAGATGTGATAGGGATACACATACTGAGTTGAAGTCAATATGTTCAATTATAAAGGAGAGTAAAACTTTATATATTTTGATACAATCTGATCAATTCTATAATTCCAATAGCTAATATGTAGTTTCAGTTGGTTTGTTAAATACTGATTGCATATACTTGACATTATTCACAAAAAACAATCGGTGATTGCAAATACCAGAACTTATTTGTTCTAGTTTGCGACGGCTTATGCTCCTCCACGAGGAGTAACAGACGTAAGTTAGTATTGAAAATACTATCATAAATAGACTAAGGAACAGTAAAACTGACATAGTGATATGGATTACGATTGGATGTCTGGATATAAAAATATACATTTAAATATTATTCTATAATGGACACAAGTATGACGCAATTAGTCACCAGACAATGTTTCGTTTATATTATGAATATGACTAGTCAAATGTAGATTACCTATATGAATGTGAATATTCGCATCCTGCACAGAACAATAGAAGAGATAGTTACGTATGACAGATTTATTGTGATTACAGTTCTGAATTGTATGAATCAATGTCGACATAAAAAGACGCTGCACGGAAGAAACACTGTATGAAATGAGTAGAATGGCAGCAAACACTGTAGTGTCAGTTATTATGCTAAGCCCAAATACCTTATTCTAGCTTGCGGACATCTCATTTCATTCATTCTACTTGAGCCATACTTTGACCTTGTTATTTATTCGCTTATCAGTCTTCACTGTTTTTATATGAGCGTATATGTGTGTGCACATCATATCCCATGACTCATTGCATATCTGTAGCTTTATTTTGTCTGGCTATAAACATTGAGTAATGCTTGACTAAAATGGAGTTGGGTTCCCAGCCATCTTCCCTGCGTGTCATTTTGCTTAGCTCTGTTTCATTCGCTTCATATGCCAAATATCTGTATTCACAAATCGATTCTCGTTATTCGACTTATTTAATTCCGTTATTGGCTAACGCGATTAAGTCGACGATGATATACGAGAATAGGCAATAACAAACAATCATTCGTACGATCTTGGAGTCAGATCCACGGGCTGCTAAAACACTATTATTTCTCTAAGTAATCGATTCTATTGATCACTTAGGAAAGGGGAAAAAAATTGATGTTATCTACCGTTGTTTTTCCTGTTAATTTATGAAGTATGGTACATGGGATTGATGAAATTCTTTTACTAACTCATTTAGTATGAATATATATTTCATGTATTAGGCTTTGAATTATATCGGTATCATGTGGGGTAAATGTAATTATTCAAATTGAATTAGTTATAGGAAGGTTTCCTACTAAAATTTACTTATTAAAAGCCAGTGATTTTAACCAGTAGAGCTAGTGAATCCAATGAACTGTTTAATACTTAATGAATATAAAGATAATTGTATGTCCCGCGTTTTAAGCGGGTTGGCAGATACGGAGTCCATCGAGAGGAGTTGGAAAGTCCTCATTGCAAACCAATGATGAATACGGGTTCCAGCATCATGAAGAAACAAATGGGGTATTGTCGGTCACTGGCTACCATGGGACTTTATCTCCTTACGATGCTCCACTGCCATGTGGATCAGACCTTTAGGTCGAAGGCTCCGGGTGTGGCCCCCTAATAAAAACACCTGCTTCGATCTTGTCACCCGGGCAGTATCATAATCACACAGAAATAAAGTGACTTATGTGGCGCATATGTATTTGGTACACGTTGTTTATATGTTTAAATGAATAAATTATAAGGTAGTTTTCGTCAATAATTCAAGTTAAAATTATACATACATACAATGATGTTCAGATTATTAAGGACGCAATAAATGTATATATATATATACTGGCTGTTGATCTAACAATACAACTTTACCACAATTGATACACTATGATAGACAATCTTTCAAGATTAGGACCCATACTGTTTTGGAAGATCTAAAATAAGAATGAAACTATATGTGTTCAATGCTTGGTAAGTTATTTTATTGTTGTTGTAGTTGCTGATTTGTCTGTTTACAGTTAAAAAAGTCATTAGTTTTCATTATATTAAAAAAGAAACTGTTGTTTAACACACTATTGAAAGAGGAGAAAAAAAAGTGTTAACATGAATATGAGACTGTCACCATGATGAATTTAAATGAATCAAATTAAATTGAATAAAACATACAATACTACTACTATCCACAATTTTCGTTAGTAGTATTCACTCTATAATGAAGGTTTCATTTATACACAAAGAAATGACACAATTATAAATGGGATAATAATTGGATTAGATTAAAGGCACACAATATTTATATCATTGATGTTTCTCAGTTAACATATTGAAAAGAAAACAACAACAACTCAGATCCTACAAATGATGGAACCATTGTGAATAGAAAGCGAGACTATAATGTATAGAGGAACAAGTCAGGTATAAAATAAAATGTTTCAGATTTTGGCATGAAATTCATTGAGTCTTGGCATTGTATAGCTAATGTCAGTTCGTGATGAAAAACCTTCAATCTAATTCTTAACCGTTAACCATCAACTATAAATCATCATTCTACTAATTCCTCATACTGATTTATCACACTTATTTGTTCCTAGTTAGTAGGTGAACACTCTCAAGGAGATTCTAGCGTCATTCAAAAGTCATCGATAAATTATAGTCTCATCGAAGATAGTTTAAACAATAATTTCAATAGACTCTCAAAGAAAATAAGATAGTGACTAAGTCATTTGAGATGTATATACTTTCATGGGAACAAGAAAAAAAACTGTGTACATGTTGTGTCCTCTTATCTTTTCTTCTTTCTTCTTTTTAAACACTCTTCAAATATTATTAAATAAATAAAAAAGTGCACATTTTGAGAATTGTGGAACATTAACTGTCAAAAATATATAGAAGAGATAGACACAGAGATTAAAAGCGGGAGGGAGAGACAGTGGATGAAAACGAGCGAGTGAGCGAGACAGAGACTGAAAGCGAGAATAAAAAACAAATAGAATGAATAAAGATAAATTTAGATAATTGTACATAATTTGAATTGTCTATTCAAATGAGACAAACACACACACACACACGGAGAGAGAGAGCGCGCAATTGGAATCCAATGTATAAAAAAATAATGATATAACATAAATATAGGTGATCATTTCCAAAGTGATAATAATAACAAAAAGTGATCAAACCACATAATATTGATTATTTCCCACCCCCAGGTCCCCCCCAAAGAAATAAACACACACAATAATGATGTTATAATATAGCAATGAGTAATGAGAATATATACACACACACATACCCACACAAATATAGAGAGAAAAACAGAATGAAACACTATGAATTAATTTTATTGGCTAATTCAATAGTTGATGTTTAACACAATCATATTTGAAAAAAATAATATTAGAATTGAAAATTCACGAGCATTAGATACTAGAGAACTAAACAGTACTGATTTGTGACTTCGGTTAAAGAGTTGAACCGAAAATGTACAGATCTTGGAGAGAAAGCTTAGCTAATCCATATATCCAACTTTAATTCAGTTCGTGATACAGTGTGAAAAAGATCAACGAATGACCCTAGTGATAACTGTTTCACTACTGACATGTTTGAACATCAGTAAAACACAACTATTCATGACTAGAACTTTAGGAACATCATGAATAGAGTCACTAATGAGTTAACTAATGTCATTTATTTAGAGGGTTCTTTTTTTATATCAAGATTGGTTTGTTTTATAGGTAGTTATCAATATTCATTACCAAAGAATGAAAATAAAAGTAATTAACAATGATCATAATAATAAATAATCAATATTCAATAGAAAACATACTTTTTAAAAAAATTTGCATTTAATAGTGTTACAATGGATTCCGATGAAGTATTGTGCTTGATTTGTTCAGTTTCTTCATCATTATTCAATAATTTAATTTCGATATTTTCTGATATACTACTATTAATAGTAGTAGTGTGGGTAATGGCAGTAATAGGGGTAGTTATTGTTGTAGATAGCTTGCTATTACTGTTTATCTTCATAGAAGATTCATTATTATGATTTGTTACATAAGATACTATTCATTCATATAAAAAGATAAGAAACACAAAAGGACAATTATAAAAATTCCTTAGGGATAAATATCATGATATAATTTAGTAAAAGAAACAAATCAAACAGATATTATTCATAAATTCATAATAGTTCAGTGAGTGGCCGGGAATCTGACTCCAATGAGATCGTTTCTGATTGCTATTGAGATATACATATCATTATTTCTGGTATAAAGTTATAGACTTAGATCGCGTTAGTGAATAAAGGAATTAAATAAGTTAAATAAGAAGATGGATTTCCAAATATATATATATATATATATATATATATATATATACATATTGTACAGTTGTTGACCGGAACAGATAATCTGAGAGACGTAACGAAGAAAGTGAAGAAGAGCAGTGGAGAAGGCATGTGAGCCAACTCGATTTAACTAAGCGTTAATTAATATTTATAGTCACACAAAAATAAATTACAAATATATGGTGAGTAAGATACGCTCATATAAAATAGTCAACGTTGATAAGTGAATAATTAACAAGGTCAAAATGTGACTCAAGAATGGATCAAATTTGGCATGTCCGAAAGCTGGATAAGCTATATGGATTAAATACAATAACCGACACTATAGTAGTATTTTTAAAAGAATGTTAAACAGTTGACAGATCAATAAAGAAATATTATATCAACTTTATACAGTTCAACAAGTGGGATTGGAAACAAAAAAAGATACTGATCAATTGTACTGTAAAGCCTTGACCAATTCAACAATTCGAGATGGAACTCTGTGTACAAGCAATTACTCATTTTTTTCATGAGTTTAACATTCTTTTTAATTTATTTCTCTATTTTTACAAAGTATACATCAGTAACAGCTTGATAAGCTTAGACAAATGTATCATTAAACTATGACGTTGGGTGATATGAGTTTGAATCTCACAGGGAACATTGGTTCCCTTGATTAGAGCAATAGCTTAATATCACTGGCTTCGATAATGAAAGTTCGACCCAAACACAAATATGCAGATCTGAACGTGGTAGAACTAAAAATAATTTCTTCTTAAATTACAGTCACATCTTGAGGACGAATATCAAATTGTACATAATCAATGTCTAGAGGCTTTTCTGTTGACAGGTTACTTAATACCACTGAACATGGATTATACTTGGAATCCTGAAGGGAAGCGAGAAAGAGGAAGGCCAAAGAACACATTACGTCGGAGAATGGAAGCAAATATGAAAAGGATAAATAACAATTGGGAAGAGCTGTAAATTACATGAGAGAAATACGAGATATTACTTTAAAGATAGATGACTAAAGAAAAAATCAGAATATGAATGCTTAATTGTTTCAGCTAATCACTCTTAATGTTAACAGATAGTTAGATAAAATACAAATATTGGGTTGGAGTCTCACTACCACTACTTACGTCTGTGGAAACACGCTACCACGAGAAAAGAATGAGTAATACATCTTGAGAAGAAGCTATAAACAAGTGGGGTCCTAGGAAGATTTCGAGGGAGGTAGTACTAGGAAGTTGAGAAGTATTGGAAAAATATATTTTATAGCCGACCAATGTTAAAAACGTTTGTAGTTGGTTGATTTTAACCAAATGATAAAATACAGAATAAATCCACTAGATAATTTATAAACCTACGCAAGTAATACTTACCTTCAGTTAATTTATTTGAATCATTATGCAGCAAAGATGTTGAACTACTAGTGTTAATGATTGATTGTTTACTGGAATGTTGTTGTTTAATTTGGATTGGTGACTTAAGATCTTCTTCATCATCGTCATCGTCGTCCTCTTCAATGTTAAAATAACCTCTACTGTGAATATTGTCTATGCCTTTTTCCAACTCGTCATTCTCATCCTTTTCATCATCTTCATTAGCACGACCATTGAAAAAATCATCATCGCTATCACTATTGTTATGAAAATACATTTCTCCTAAAGGTCCAGGAACTCCAATATGGATATCAGGTGTTTTAACTTGATCTTTTTCTTCAGATTTATTATTATTATCATCATAAATACTATTATTATTATCATTATGTTCAGATTCTTCATCTGGATCTAACCATGAATCCATAAAATTCTGTAAAATAGTTTGTCGATGCAGATTAACTATTGTAGATGCTGGTATCACTGGATGATAAGCAAGATATTCATGATTATTTTTGCCATATTCATCATGTTTATCATTGTCAATATCATCTAAGAAATAAGATGATGATTTTCCATTTAGATCTAATAATTTGTTTTGCATTAAATTTGATGATGTAACAGGTGCCAGAACAAATGGGACACTTTATGATAAGGATATATGAAAGAAATAAAAAAGGATATATAAGATAAAATGAGAACAAATGAAGAACTGAACGATTCGATTCTAATGATTTTAAAGAACTGTTTAAAGTATACAGTGGAATACGTACTAATAATTCTGATCGTTCATATTTTTCTTAACATTGAACTAACGAACGGAAACAGTCAGTCAGTCACAAAGTAAGACCAGGGTACAACTTCATCAACTGATTTACCATCATTTCCTAATACCCTGAATATTACTTACCCGATGATCCCAGAAGATGCGAGCAATATTTCGAAAGCATCTGTGGTCAAATACTAGTAGCTCATGAGTACCTTCTACTCTTAATGGTCACGTTTCGCAGCTGTAAAGTAGAACATAACGAACTGCCACGCACTATACTCGTCCCTTAATTGATAGACAAACATCTCACCTCCGCTACAGGTGACGAAAGTTGGCAAAAGCCAAACGAGTTTTTCGAATCCGTGCTGAGAATTTATCAGACACTACGAGTGGAAACTCTCATTTACAGCTTCACTGTTACGATCGGAAGTGGTTGGAGCGAAAGTTACTATATTACAACACAATTTTCACAATAAAAATCGAGTACATGCATTTACATGTGACAGTATAATATGAAGATCTAATTACGTGGCTATTCAACATAAACTGTAATGATTATTATAAAATTAAAGTCATATAGTAGTGTAGTCATGAAGTGTTAACCTTACATTCCTATGGGTCATGCAAGTGTGTAGCTTGACATTATTTATTTATTTATTTATTTATTTATTTGAGCACATAAATATTGGTACAAGAGAGCGCCAATATATATGCGCCACACAAAACAATGAAAATTCGAAGAGAGAAAAGAAAAGAAAAACTAAGGAGCACAAAAGAAAAAGAGAACGATAACAAAGAGATTGGTGAAAGGTAGTGCGGTCGTAACGATGGAACGGAAAGGTACAATCGGAAGAAATCTTTCAAGTAAGGGAGACACAACCACTTTTTATGAAGAAAGTAAAAGAAGGTTACAGCAGGATCGCCACTGGCTTCTATTCTGAGCCATATCTGATAACGTCTCTAGCCACTGTGTAGCACCATCTCTCAGACCCCAACCAGGGAGTCGTGAAGGACCGACAGAAGCCAGTCCTTTGCAGCTTTCTTTCATACCACGACACCATGTCATGCACTGACCACCTCTCCGCTTTTTCCAACCAGTCCCAGAGTCGGCAAACAATGCACGACGTGGAATTCTCTGGGACGACATTCGTAGAACATGTCCAAGCCACCGAAGTCAGTGTTTCAAGATGGTGACACCAATTGAATTATCATCTCTGTGCCCAAACACACGATGCCGAACCTCTGCATTACTAACATGGTGTTGCCACTGAATGTCAGCAATCCTTCGGAGACAACGATGATCGAACACAGAGAGTCGTCTAACGTCCTCAACTCGGAGAGGCCAGGTTTCACAAGCATAGAGCAAAACTGCTCTCACCGACGCGTTGTAGATCCGACCTTTTACAGCCAGACTAACATCACGAAGGCGCCAAAGGTGGCCCAGATTGGCATAAGCCGCTCTGGCTTTCACTATACGTGCATTGATCTCATCACTCACACCCACACCAGCACTTATGCAGCTACCCAGATACACGAACTTCTCGACTACTTCTATCTGCTCACCATCCAGGGTGAGTACAGGATTGGAATAGGGCTTTTAGGATGTTAATAAACTTCTCAGGCACACCCTTCTTCAATAGACAATCCCAGAGAACAGTCCTGTCCAACGAATCGAAGGCAGCCCTGATGTCAAGAAACACTACAATTGTTGGCCTTTGATAAGTATGGCGATGTTCTAACATTTGGCGGAGGGTGAAGATATGATCAATACAACCTCGACCAGAACGAAACCCAGCCTGCTCCTCGCGAGTCAATCTTTCTCGGGTTTTGAACAACCTACGAAGTATGACGGAAGCCAATAGCTTGGACGCAATCGGAAGTAGACTTATCCCCCGATAGTTGTTGCAGGAACGACGTGAACCCTTTTTAAAGATAGGGACAACTATCGACTCATTCCATGACGTTGGTACACTCTCTAACACCCAAACCTTTGTAAACAACGTCGTCAATTCCTTAGTCAAAAAGTCACCACCATCTTTAAAAAGAGCCGGAGGTAAGTCATCTGGGCCAGGTGATTTGTAACGCTTCAAGAGTTGGAGTTCCTTGCGGACTTCCTCCTCGTTTGGTGGATCAGTCGTCACCGGCCATGGAGGGCAGGACAGCCTGACCGATGTTGCCGGAGCAGCAGGCCAGTTGAACTGCCCTTCGAAAAATTCTGCCCATCGTCCAAGACGTCGATGGATGTTAGTGATTGGCATCCCATCATCCTCGCAGATTGTTTCACTCACACCAGACTTCTTGCTGCCAGTGGCTCGGATGAGCTGGAAGAGCTTCCGGTAGTTACCAGATGCAGCTGCTGCTTCCAGCTCATTAGCACGCTCCGACCACCAGGCTTCTCGGTCCTTACGCAAGCTTTGCCCAATTTCCCTACGTAACATCCTTCGTTTATGGTCAAACTCACGGTCACCCGGAGTAGACCGACGGGCTTCAATGAGTTGTAAGGAACCAGAAGAAACCCAGTGCTTAAAAGCGGGACGTTTCGCAAACCCACAACTGACTGTTCCCGCCATTTTCATGGCGTCAAGCAATTGCAACCAATGCTCATCTATACTTTTCGGTGGAGTGGTAGCTAGCCTAGAGGCTAACTCGGTTCGATACTTATTTGCAACAGAAGTTGCAACCAGCTTGCTAACATCAATCCGTTGGTGGCGGTCACTTCGTTGTCCACTGAAAAGTAAGGCAAGATTGGCGCAGACCAAGGCATGGTCAGAGTCCAGATAGGTACTCCAAAAGGAGCGGCAGTCTTTTACACAACCACGCCAGCGGTAGCTGATCGCGATGCGATCAATCTGAGTCCAGGCTTGGGATGCAGAGGGAGGACGCCAGGTGGCATATCGGCGATGACTGTGCCGAAAGTTAGTGCTAGCCAGAAACAGGTTGTGGTCTGTGCACAGTTGCAGTAGACGGTCCCCGTTATCTGACCTGCGACCAACGAGTCCCCATCGGCCACCTAAACGACTCTCTTCTGTGCCTAGACGCCCGACCTGCGCATTCAAGTCTCCGGCTAGTACTACAATATCTGTCGAGCGCACTTTCTGGAGAAGAACAGACAGCTGGTGGTAAAACTCATCCTTGATTGCATCCGGGCTGCAATCTGTCGGGGCATAGGCGGAGATGACGAAAAGACATCGTTTCTCACGCCGATTTCTTCTCACTTTGATGGAACTTTCTAATCTAACAGCACATAATCGACTGTTAATGGGGATCCAATCGACTAGTGCTGCCTCAGCTCTAGCGCTTAGTGCGACACCAACGCCAGCAAGATCAGACGAAGATGCTACAGGGTCCCCGGATAAGTGCACGTGAAACAAGCTTTTCGAAGCGACAGATGGAGATCGAATTTGTAGTACTTCGCCAGAGTCTTGAATACGGGTCTCGGATAGACAACAAACATCAATATTGAGACTTTCCAAAGACATAGCCAGCCCTATCTGTTGTCCGACCTGCATTAGTGTGCGAACGTTGAAGGCAGCCAGTTTGAATGGTGCACGTGGTTTCAGAAAAACTGCTTCAGTTCTCGTATTCGGTGGTAACATACAATTTTCAACCGAACAGTGACTCGAGAACGTTTAGATACAGTCGAATTTCCACCAAAGACGAGCCGCTGTATAAGTATAAAAGAGGGTGAATAATGTGGATAATAATAATAATAATAATAATAATAATAATAATAATAATAATGACAATAATGGTAATAATAATAATGGTATTAATAATGACAATAACAGTAATAATTATTTGAATCAATTGAATGTTGATCGGAGAGAGGAAATTAGTTGCCATAGTCATAGAGTTCATTGTTTGTGTGTGGGCTGTGATACTGCCCGGGTGCCCAAACCGAAGCAGGTGGTTATCTTAGGGGGCCACACCCCGAGCCTTTGACCTAATGGTCTAACCCACAAGGCAGTGGAGCATCGTAAGGAGATGCAATCCCATGGTAGCCGGTGACCAACGATTGGTTCATACGCCATTTGTTCCCGCAGGATACTGGAGCCCATGTGCACCATTGGTTTGTGATCCGGTTAAAGCGCCGGACGTTCGCTTTTCGTCCTCTCATCTTCGTAAACAACACCCCCGCCACGAGAAGGCAATGAGTAGGACTTCCCTGGCAGAGGCTGTATACGCGCGGCCGTGTGAGAGTATTTCGAGAGGGAGAGCGGACTCTCCCCACTCTCGGCCGTACCAGGGCGTTCGGGGGCTTGACATTATACAAATGAAGCACACAGCACAAATGATTCTTCATTACAGAAGTCATTGTAAATTAATAAACTCATGAATAGAAGATCCAAAAGCGATCATGAGTAATTCGATCCAATCAAACCAACTATTTTTTTCAGTTTTCCTTCGATAACACAGCAGGCTGGCACCGACATTTATGAGGAGCTGTGCTTGTATCATATTACCTTACATGATAGACGCCATAGAAGCCATGTACGAACCGGCGATCGAATGAGCAACAAATCTTATGCCTCCTTCCACCGATCAGTCAGGGGTACCACTAGAGTTCAAACAGTGTCACGACTATCTTTGATTTTAACAGCCGTTGTCTCCGAAGGATTGCTGAAAACCGATGGCAATAACATGTTAGAAACGCATATATTCAGCAAAGTGTGCTTGAGCACAATTCAATTGATATCAACTATCGTCGGTGACTTGGACATGCCTACTCTGAGACTGGTTTAGTGCATATATATTTTGGTGCTATATCGTACTAGTATATATGAGTTTAAACAAATAATATTCATTAGAGAGATAACAATAATTTTGAAATCAATCCTATGACCTTATGTTACGTAACGAATAAAAATGAAAAAGGTTAGAAAATAACAGTGGAAGTTAACTTACTCAGAATGATTAAGACTTTCAATGGCAGATTGAGATATCTAGAAAAAAAGAAAGAAAAGATGAAATCTATTGGAGAAACAGTTCCAGAATAAATAAAATTATGAGAAACGAAAAGTATATAGAATGTGATCAATACAAAGTCGATCAATACTAACGACTAAATAAATGGTCACTATTACAACTGTGATACTAGAGTTATATGCAAAGAAGGATAGTGGACAGCAGTGGAATCCAGGACACACGTTTCGTCCTATTTGAGACTCGTCAGCTGGACGTACCTGCACCTCAGGGTTGATATACCCTTTAGGGCTCGAACTCAATACCGTTCGCATGAAACACTATCACGCTATCCATTTACCTACTGAGTCCTGATAGCCATCGGATTGTGAAATGGGCTGAATTTTAAATCCGCGAGTCCCGAATAGGATGAAATGCGTATCCTGGATTCGACTGCTAGCCACTATTCATCTTTGCATATGATGCCTGGGAATTAAGGCTATATCGAGGTAATACGCACAGTATGCATATATGTCAATAAGAAACTGATCAATTGCAGTCTTAAACCTCAATGGGAAGATTAAAACAAAGAATACCAAATGAATGTGATACTAGAAATTCAAAATATTATGAATAGACGACTGGAGGGATTTCTTGCTATTAACCAGTAAATTATATACTATAAGATAGAGAAGTGTTAAGAAACATTATTGCACAACTATACAGTGTGACTTTGAGTTGAATTTGAAACGTATACTATACAAATGAATTAGAAAAAGAAGGACTTCTGTTTACCTCAGCAACTTCCACAGAGTTGATCCCATCGAGATCTTTGACAAAATCTGACCATAGTTTTTGAGTGTTCGGATGTAAATCTATAAAAAAAGAAAGTAATTTTAGAGAATTATTAAACATTTTCTCTGTAAGGAAGAAAAAAACAAACTAAAGAGATAAGTGTAGTGATTACGAGACATTGGGTCCTCTTATGCTCTCTACACAAAACGTCGAGGAAATTATATTCATTTAAAATTAATTCTAACAATTAGAGAGAAATCATTCTGAATGATCCAATAAATTTCACGAAGATCGAGAGGTTGAACTTTGATACGTTTGCATATGTCAGACAAATATAACGAATCCATAAAGACAAAATAAGAATGTAAAATATAGAGTGTTATCAATCAGTCAGTCATACACCAACTACATCCTGGTATATATATACATTTCGATTCAAGCTCATATCAAAATACTCAGATGAGAATATCATGACAAATAGTAGTCCTTAACGTTTTGATAACCTAATCACATACCACTCAATATTGTATGTCTAGGTGTGATATGGCATAACACTACAATGCAAATAACTTCGAACAAAAGATTTTTGACTAAAATGGCGATATGGTATACGGATGAGACTATAATTTATGGAAGATCTTTGAGCGAAGCTAAAATGACATTGAGGATATCGACATACTAACTATGACTAAATGAGGATTATAAACTATGGTCAGGAACTAGAATTAAGATTTACTGTTGATGATTAAGAGTTAAGAAATAAATTTATGGTTTTCATCATATCAGCTAAAATGCTAAAAAGGTTCATTAACTAAATGGATGAATGAATTTCGCGCCAAAATTTAAGACCTTTCATCTTTTATTTGATTCGTTCGTCCATAAATTACAGTCTCGCCGATATATGTTATTACTGCCCGTTCAACATGCAATAGTGGATAGAATACAAATAGATTGAAACTCAAATATGAATATAATAAAGATATTAACTATTGAGTTATCTTAGTAGGTATAACCTCTTTATAAATGAAGTCTATTTAGTAATTATTATCAACGATTTAAACACTGACAGGTAACAATAAATATACTTTTTTTAATATCCCTAAATGAGTAGAAAATTGTATTTCTGATGTTTCGTAACTAAATATAAGACATTTCTTCAGAGTAAATGAATGACCGAAATAATAATAAAAAATTAACACAAGTTTAAATTGTAATAATGAAACGTCAGAAATATAATTTTCTATTCAAATTTACATTAAGACCTACTTACATGTAACAGTCTTGAAAAAATTCAACGCAGTAATGAAGAAGTTACTTTAAGGGTATATAACCTAATTTGAACTTGTTAATGCCTCTTATGCATTGAATATAGTCACACAATGTACTTTAAGTGATAATATAAGTTTTACATTGATTGATATCTTTCTATGCGTAACCCATACACACACACACACTATTCCTTTAACTCTGAATTTACATAAAAATTCTTATTTGGTGAATGGATCTTGTGATCGTAATACATCACTAAACAAACATCGATATCAATGATTTGAAAAGATAATAGAAAATTCAAAGAGTATTTAAAACGGTCAGATATAATGGTTGATAATTCTCTATATAGTATACAGAAATAGAATTATGTCATTAGTTGAAATCATCAGTCAAATGAAGCTAGACTACCATGGAAGCACTGGACGGCCATGTCGTCTTATTGTGGGACTCCTCGGCAGTGCGCATCCACGATCCCACGCCCCGAGAGATTCGAACGCGGGACCTATCAGTCTCGCACGCGAGCGCTTAACCACTTGATCATGGTGTTGATGTCAAACTTCAACCAATCCACGATAGATCTATGTAACATAATTATACAGAAGGTGTAATATCTGAAATGCAAATGTGTATTCCTCATTAGAGTAGGAGGTAAGTAGAAAGTATATTGATGAAGTTGCTGATTTCTAATCAAAGTGGTTGATATTCATGCATAGCAGCAGTCATATATTAACAAATTACCTTGAATGAGAGATTTTAAAAACTCTCCATACGGACCATTCATTGCTGCTACAATTAGGTTACCAATTTGCCAGATATGTCCTGAATAACCTGATTTTACAGGGTGTTTCGATAATCGAACTAAGCAGCTCGGTGAATCCCCATCATTCGGACTAAAGGGAATAATGATTACGAAAAACTATATACAATCAAGATGTATAACAATTAATCAAAACAAAATGAAAAATGTCCACGCGAGTGAAAACCTAAATATCACATATAAGCGCATCCGTGGTGTATGCTGCTTATACTGACAGATATAAGTAGTATGTTACAAAAATCGAAAGTGGATTACCTGCCACCAGAAGATTAAATTAAAGAGCAGATGGTTCTCTTAGGGGGCCACACCTAGAGCATTCGACCTAAAGGTCTGATCCAGAAGGCAGTGGAGCAACGTAAGGAGATGCAGTCCCATGGTAGCCAGTAACCAACGATTGGTTCATACGCTATTTGTTCGTTCAGGATACTGGAACCAGCTTATGTGCACCATTGGTTTGGAATCATGGTTTTCCAACTCCCCTAGATGTACTCTCCATATCCATCAACACGATTAAAGCGCTGGACATTCGCTTTTAGTTCTCTCAATTTCGTGAACAACACCCCCTCCACGAGAAGGCATTGAGAAGAATTTCCATGGCAGAGGCTATATACGCGTGACCACGTGAGAGCATTTCGAGAGGGGGAGCGGACTCTCCCCACTCTCAGGTGTACCAGGGCATTTGATGGCATATATATGCATCGGTCCACAATGTCACACCTCATTAGCTCAACAAGACCAACACCAAATTCATACAAGTAGTTAATTCAATGTTAGTAAGTTATTAAAAATAAATTGTATATAGTACAGGAGCAAATAATTAGTAGGTAGGAAGAAAGATATAAAAGAATTTTATTCTCACGGTTTAAGCGAAGACAAAGAGTGTATACACCTACGCCATTGTGATCGATCCTGAGCCTTGTCAACTAGTCTCCAACCATTGGTTACGACAGTCACATGAACCCCAACTCAGTAGTCTACGTCTACCAACATGGCTCAGATCAGAAGTTAGTGACTTTGTGGACTGATGACACGTTTTGGTCAGCTTGGCCACTCCTAACTTTCGTCCAACCATCCTCAACACTTTTCAGCATTGCATATCATGGTAATCGATATTCAGGCATATGTAACACATGGCCCAATCATCTCAATCGATAAAAATTCACAATCTCATCAACTGATTTACCAGTTATATGAGAACATCACATTGAATAAGAATGATTAAATGAATATAGAATACACTTAATATTTATTCATTCCAAATAGTTATTATCATATTATGGTTTAACCTGATCAAACACTAACAATTGTAGTATTGACGAGTGAAACCAAAAAAAGAACTCTATATATATTTCTTAACATCCGGTTTAATTCATACATTCATACCATGATCTAATCAATTATCAGTGAAAATAAACCAAACACTTCATAGACTACTGATATTATTATTAATATAAACATAATAAATTACCGTTCATTTAATGATGGTAAAGGGGATAATGTTAAACACCAATCAATAAGTTGATGATCTTTTATTAAACTAATTAATATATTTTTACTATATTCATTATCATTTTGATGAATTAAATTAATACCACCAATATTATCATATGGATTAAATTTGTTAGTATTAGATGAATTTGTTGAACTGACTACATTATCAGAATCAGTTGTAGCAGTATTCGTCGATGAATCAGCTGATGATGATGATATTGAAGGGAATAAAGATTCGGTGATTTGATTATTGTCATGATTAGAAGATAGTTCAACAGTAATAGTACTAGTAGTTGTATTGATGAGATGATTTGTTTTATTATCATTAGATATATTAGTGGAATTATTATTACCATTATTAGTGTTGACAAGTCCAGAATGTTTAAACACTGATTTTATAATATCAGTAACATAATGATGTAAAAATGTATTGTATGGATATAAGGCGAATAATTCCTATCAGTATAAACATGTATATATTCAGAAAGAAAGAAAAAAGAGGAAGGAAATACAATAAATGTTTGTTCAATCTAATAAAAATCAATAATATTCATGAAAAAAAAACTATACTTTAATGAGATGGTGGAGACAATTTGTAGCTCAGGTGAATGATTATCATAGAGTTTTGTTTTTTGAGCTAGATGGTTTCGTTGTAGAGATTTCATCGTTCTTTTGAACGACATCATTAGTACAAGCTTCAGGTAGAAGTGAATTGCTGGGATTTCTACACATGTGGTTTATAGATTGTCCTGTAGACCTTGATGTTGATTAGTTATTGCTGACCTTAAAGTAAACTATACTTTTATAGATGAACTGATCAGATAGTAGTTAGTAGATTATTACACGAACTTCAAAACCTGATAACAAGATAGTTTATAGCCTCTTATGAGCTAAGTTAGAAGATAAATAGAATATATCAATATTTAATTCATTTTGTATTATTTGTTTGAATCTTCTTATTGATGTTTAGGTATATACAGCTAACGAATCCTAAATAGAATGAAACGTATGTCCTAAAAGATTACACTGCTAGACACTATCTATATTTTAAGTATTCATTAATGAGGCCAGAATAACTGCTAATATTAACTACTCACCGTCCTACACACCTTTAAATTATTGAACAGCTTAATTAGTATTAATCTAGTATGATTCTCATTTATCATGTCAACTTGTTGAGTATGTGTTATTGACATTCGAAATGTGACAAGTCATCGTTTAATTACACATTGGAATGTTTAGGAACTTAATGTTGAAGTTCATTTCTGTTATATTTTGAACTGATTTTTCTCGATATACCGCGTACAACAGAGCACTAGAACACCAAAACCCTTCCAAGTCGCAATAAGAAGACAGAAGACTAATGAAAGGAATACTATTCCAAACAGTGTCAATCATAGTACAATATTGTCAGGTATTTATAGTTTTTAGTGAGAACAAAATCATCATTACAGTCTTCCAATCCGCATACAGGGGGTTATTAACAATATCCAATCGGGAAGCTACACGTTGGAATTCTAGAACATTCTTCCGAAAGGTGATTGGATGAGATGTCTTCGGCTCCTTCTGAGCCTCTTACAGCTTCCTCGAGTTCCCCGGTGGTCCGTCGTCACACCTCCCCCCTTTAAAGTCCGTTGTGTAAGATTTTTTTCTTGGATCCACCTGAAGCTTGGGTGTCGCATTCCTCTTGCGGTCCATTATTCTCGAGGGTTGTACAGCTCTCTCTCTGCGTCGTTTGTCTTTTCGATATTTGCGCTCATGATGGTTTTTCTGAGATGAATCTACGAGCAATTGAAATGGGAGCCGGTTTTCTGTGACCACTGTACTATCATTTCTTTGCATTTGATTTATATGTCTTATGCATTTTTCGACACCCTTCCGGACTAGGTACAGTACATTTCCGATTCGACGTTCTATGACACCTGGTTCCCACTTCCTATTACCTTGATACGATCTGACAAGTACCTTTTCACCCACCTGGAAGCTACGATTGATCTTACGATTTTCATTCGTGGGTTTATTTGTGTTTCTGGGCGGCAACATACTGTTAAAGACTGTCCGGATTTTTCTATTGAACATACACTCGGCCGGAGACTTTCCTTCTGGTACTGCCGGATTAGGGGTAATTCTGTAAGACATCAAGAACTTATTAATCACTTGTTCCGGGATACCCTCACCTCCCCCTTTGACCAGAGCTCTTTTAATCGTATCCACGAATCTTTCTGCCTGGCCATTCGACTGAGGATGGTACGGAGGAGATTGTAGATGCAATATGCCATTTTCGTTGCAAAAACGTTTGAAGGCGGATGACATAAACTGAGTACCATTGTCGGTCACTAGGATCTCTGGAACCCCAAAACAAGAAAACAATCCTGACAATCTTCTTACTGTACTCTCTGAAGTCGTATTCGGCATGTCATACACTTCTGGCCATTTTGTGAAAGCATCTACAACAACTAAGTAATTCCTGCCTTGTATTGGTCCGGCGAAATCAGCATGTATTCTTTGCCGAGGCCCGTCCGGTTTAGGCCATGGTTGTGGTTCAGCTCTCGTTGGATTCTTTGCAGCCTCTAGACAGGAACAACAACTGCGACATTTTTGCTCTATATCATGGTCCATCGACGGCCAGTATGCATAGCTGCGAGCTAGTGACTTCATTTTACTTATCCCCTGATGCCCGCTGTGAAACTGTTTAATGACTTGGTGTCGAAGATTTCTGGGGATTACGATACGATGGCCAAACATTACACATGAATCGACAACTGTTAATGATTCTCGTCGACGAAAATATTGTAAGAGATCTCCGTGCAGTTTAGATGAAGGCCATTTGTTGAGTATGCAATGGCGAACAATCTTCAATACATTATCCTTCTTACTAGCCGCTTTAATGGCTTCGAATGTGACCGGGAGTCCGGAAACTGCGTCTGACAATATTTTGTGAACCTCGGCCTCGACATCTATAGCAGCTACAAGTACCTCTTCTTCTTGTTTTTCATGCAGACCAATCAATCTTGAGAGTGCATCTGCCTGTCCGAAATCCGTTGTTGGTTGATACTTAATCTTGAAATCGTAGCCCAGCAGTGTGGTAGCCCATCGCTGTAGCCTGTTTGCTGTATATACCGGGATACCTTTTTTAGATCCAAAAACTGTCAGTAACGGTTTATGGTCTGTAAGTAAAGTGAATTGTCTGCCAAACAACATCTTGTGGAACTTTTTTACAGCAAATATAATCGCGAGGGCTTCTTTCTCTATTTGACTGTAGTTTCTTTCAGTCATAGTCAGCGATCTCGCAGCGTGAGCGATTGCTTTTTCAGACCCGTCAGGGTAGGCATGTGAAATTACTGCTCCAATTCCGTAGTTCGACGCATCTGCAGCGACTATAATTGGAAGATCAGGATCATAGTGTGTAAGGAGAAGGTTCGATGATAGAAGCTGCTTCAGTTTTAGGAACGCTTCCTGGCATTCAGTTGACCAGAACCATTTAGTATCCTTTTTCAGTAAGCAATTAAGGGGAGCACGATAGCGATGCAGATCTGGAAGAAAAACTCCATAATGACTAACCATTCCTAAGAAAGAACGTAAAGTTGATATATCAGTCGGTGGAGGCATGGACTTAATGGCTTCGACATTTTCAGGATCAGGTTTTCTCCCGTTTTTATCGATTATGAATCCCAAATATCGGACTTGCTCCATGTAAAAATCACATTTTTCGGCACGCAGTCTGAATCCATAATCTGCTATGCGTCTAAGAACCGCATCCACCTTACTCTCTAAATCAGCATAGTCTGTACCCATGATCAATATATCATCGAGATAAGCCGCGGTACCAGGAATGTCTTGTAACATAGTGTCCATAACTTGTTGAAAGATTGAAGGGGCGGTCTTTACACCAAAAGGAAGTCTGTTATATCGGAACAACCCCTTGTGAGTGTTTATTGTCAAGTAATGCTTACACTCATCCGCTACTGGAATCTGTAGATAAGCGTCTGATAGGTCTAATTTCGCAAAATACTTACCCCCATTCAGTTTCGCAAATAAATCCTCTGGTACCGGCAATGGGTATTGATGGTCTTCAAGTGCTTCATTTAATCCAGTCGAATAGTCTGCACATAACCGGATACTTCCATTAGGCTTTTTAACAATCACTATCGGTGCTGCCCAATCAGAAAAGTTTACTGGTTCGATTATTCCACTTCTTTGCAGACGCTCTATTTCTTGTTCAACAATAGGTAGTGCTGCATAGGGTACCGGACGTTTTGGTCTGAAGACGGGGGTGACTCCCGGTTTAAGAATCAGTAGTGCTTTTACCTTTTTACATTCCCCCAGCTCTTCCGTAAACACTTGACTATGCCTTTCCAATACAACATTCTTCAGATCCTTTTTCACCGGTTTATTGATTCTCACTGCACTGCATATGTGGTTAATGGGGTGATTTGATAATTGTAGTGTTTCTATCAAGTCTAGACCTAGCAAATCTAGTCCTGGGTTCTCTGTGAGATATAAAGTTGCGTTCGTTTTCGCGTTTCCTTTCGAAACTATACAGCAAACTTCTCCAACAATATTTAGTTTTCCTCCAGATGCGCTGTGAGCTAACTGGGTTGTTGGGAGCACCTGTGGTTTACCGATAAGATTCCAAGTTCTTCGACTAATAAGTGTGATGTCAGAAGCGGTGTCGAGTTGCAGGCGGGCACGCTTTTTATTTATATCCAAGTTTACATACTTTCTTTGGCGGCAAATTCGTGCTCGATTATGTGATACCAATATTTTGTTAGTTCGAGCACTAAATCTGTATTTCTTCGAGTAGGGTTTCAAGGAACGTCGTTTATGGATTCTTTTTATGCAGCAGTTTTCTTTATGTCCTTTCCGATGACATTTGCTACAACAATGTTCCTTATATGGGCAGAACCTTTTATAATGCCAACCCCCACAAGACCAACATGGAGATGAAGGCTGATTGTCTGTGTGCGATACCTTTCTTGAGCAAGAATCGTTCTTTCCGCTTACAGCACGAACGTATGGCAATTGGCCATTATTCTCGACCATCGAAGTGTCATGCTTTAGGTTTACCAATCTCTGACACTCTGTGGTTACTTCTTGTAGTGTCATATTCGGACATTGTTCAATTTTACTCAAAATTCTGGTTCTAATATCGGCGTCTTCAGGAGATTGGAGGCTGCACACAAACACAAGACACTTAAACTGATATTCTGTCATTGCTGATAGTTTGAAGCGCTCACATTCCCGGTTTACTAAACCCGCATGCTTCACCCAGTCATCATCACCTGCTTTTGTCATCTTGAGATATTGATAACGAATATTAAACAAGGATGACTGTTCAGCAAAGATTTGCGACAAAATTTCAATCGTTGCATCAAAAGAAAAATCTCTTGGATTCTTTGGAAGGATAAAATTACTGTAACGTTCATGTTCAACAGTTCCAAGTTTTCGCAAAAGTATTCTGACCTTAGCGGCGTCATCAAGATTTTTGAGGTCGACCTTGAATAAGTCTTCATATTTCTTGAACCAAGTTTCAAAAGTAATAACGGCTGAACCATCAAAATTAAATTCATGGATAGAATTAAAAATCTGGTCAACATGAGATTTGAAGGAGTCAACTGTAACTTCTTTTTGATCCAGGTTCATTTTCTGAGTTAGCATCTCCATCATGCGCATCTGGAACTGTTCAAAACGTTTTTCTTGGCGTTCCAGTAAGGCTTCAAATTGTTCAAAGGTAAATGACATATTGGTACAATAACCCGTCGCCAGATGTTATATCTTGAACTGATTTTTCTCGATATACCGCGTACAACAGAGCACTAGAACACCAAAACCCTCCCAAGTTGCAATAAGAAGACAGAAGACTAATGAAAGGAATACTATTCCAAACAGTGTCAATCATAGTACAATATTGTCAGGTATTTATAGTTTTCAGTGAGAACAAAATCATCATTACAGTCTTCCAATCCGCATACAGGGGGTTATTAACAATATCCAATCGGGAAGCTACACGTTGGAATTCTAGAACATTCTTCCGAAAGGTGATTGGATGAGATGTCTTCGGCTCCTTCTGAGCCTCTTACAGCTTCCTCGAGTTCCCCGGTGGTCCGTCGTCACAATTTCACTTATCGTCTTATTATATACATATTCGCAGGTGGAAGAAAATCTGTAAGAAAGTATAGTTTTACATTAGTTGGCACTTGTCAACAATGTGCATTCCTACAACCTAGGAAATGATGCTTTCCGTGATATTTGAATGAATGTTATTCATTATCATAATCAGAGACGTCACTAACTAGTGAATTATCATGTTTGTTTTATATATTGAGTAACAATTACTTGTCAACAAACAAATATCTTCATTGTATAATAGGTATTTACATTTGCAAGAATAGGTCAAAGATTTCTTGTCAAATTAGAAAAGTATTAAGCAAGTTTAGCTACAGCCTAGACTGATGTATATATGACAAGGCAGAACAAAAGTGTCAAGAGTAGAATGGGAACCACAAGATTCGATGTTATTTGATACATAACTACCTAACAATGTGATAGCTTAAATGACCAGAATGAACTTATAAGATATAAACTATAATACAACAACAGTGTATACACTATTTAGCTAAATAAACCAAAATAATAGAATAAAGAATTCGATTCCATCAATTAATAGTCGCATATCATATGTCAGTCAGTCAATCAATCCACAACGTAGAATTCCATACATACGTACATCAGTTCGAGTTGTCATATCCCATTAGCAAAGCGATAAAATTGTCGATTCAACGTATGTATCATATCATATGACTAAACTTTGAATAATGCGCAAAAATGTTTTACATGGGATATAATAGAAAGAAAAAAAAGAGAAGTAACCAATCATAATTTACCATTGAAGTTTTTACAAATCCAATATCTACAATTGCTTTAGATAAATTAGTACTAATAGGTAAAGATATAAGTGAAGCAATTAATTGTAGAATAGCTAGACGACCACGTCCAAGTGGTGGATTTAATGTACAATGAGTTGTTGGCATACAATTATAAAATTGCTATAATAAATAAATAGATAAAAAAGATAATGTTAATTAATTTAACGGTTACCTTGTAAATTCAATATATATACATCAGAAGGGATTTGTGGATACTATAGTAATTTTAATAGTTGAGATCATGAGTCAATTGAAGCTAGACTACCATGGAAAACCTGGAAGCACTGGATGATCGTTTCATCCTATTGTGGGACTCCTCAGCAGTTCGCATCCACGATCCCGCCTCGCGAGATTCCAAACCCAGGACCTATCACTCTCGCGCGCGAGCGCTTAGCCATTAGACTACTGAGCTGGTTTCCAATGGTGTTAATGTCTAACTTCAACTAATCCAGAAAATCGAGCGACACATACATCATTGTCTTCAGTGAGTTACTATCTCACAACAGACCCGGTTGAATTCAAAGCTTTCGATCACTGATTACAATAATCACGCGGGCCCCAACCAAGTAGTCTGTATGACTTAGCACAATAGTGAATATCTTCATGGACTGATGTCAAATCTTGATTTGGCTGCTCCTAGCTTACTTCCAGCTTATTCTCCCACACAAGCTATCATCGCGCGTTGAAATAGTCAGTAGATAGACATAAATATAGACTTACTACTTTATAGATTGATTTTCCATACTTACCTAGAACTCGGTATCAACCTCAGAATTACTAACTTTATGGTCTAATGACATATGTGATGGAATATTAATAAACTACGAATATCATATATTGTTAAAGACCATGTTCCAGTCATAAAATAGAACGAAGCGAACTGTTACTGTTGACAAACTGATATCTCATCTACATAACAAGTTGAGAAAAGCCAAATGAGCTTTCTGAGTTTTGACTATGCTTTCTTTTAAACATGTAATGGTTCACGACATAACTGCTGAATTAAAATAATTTATAAATCTCATTGATTCAAACAACTTATCCTTATTTATTTAACAACCACCATCTCTTTTGTACCAACCTGATCACCACACATATAAACTGACGTGAATTGTGTGATCACACTAAGAATGTAACACTGGATATTTGGAATCAATAATCGCTCAGTGGATAACATCTTGGACACTTGAAGCAAAAGCTACTGGATGAGTCATAATGTAGACATTAGTATTGTGGGGTAGATGCATACAACTGAAGAGTCCTGAACAGGATGATCTACGTGTTTGACTGACAGCCAAAATCCACCTATTTTACACAATGATATTTATAATTTCCCCACTGTTTTTGAGTATAAATATTTTTCCAGTATTGTTTAATCATAAATCGAATCACAAAAGGAAGTTAGGCATTTTCTAAAATTATCCAAAAAATAATCAGCATAAGGTTGTGGGAATCGTTGTTTTAACTGAGGTCATGAACCGATCAATGTTAGACCACCATTGAAAACCTGGGAGCATTGGACGACCATTTCATCCTAGTTCCTAACTCCCCAGCAGTACTTACACACAGTGCAGCACGCAGGAATCGAACCTACGACCTTCTGTATCGCGCGCGGACGCTTAACCTCCAGATCACTGAGCCGGCATCTAACGTGTTAATGTATAACTCCAACCAATTCACGATATTTTGCGACCATCTTCCATTGTCTTCGGTGAGTAACTTTTTCACATTCAACACGGCTGAACTCTGTTGGCCATTGCATCTGAATAGAACTCCGAGAATTATCTCTCGAAGCTAGTCACTAAACAGCACATGATAATTATTAATATCGAGTTGTGGTCCCGCAATATCGTGGATTGGTTGCATGTAAACATTAACACCAGTGAATAACTGTAGTGTTGGTTATTATGTTAAGCCTAGATACCTTATTCTAGCTTACGGACAGGCCAATCTATTCATTCTACTTAAGCCATATTTTGACCTTCATAATTATTCGCTTATCGGTGTAGACTGTTTTTATATGAGCGCATATGTGTGTGCCCTTCTTATCCCATTCATGACATGTCTGTAGCTTTTGTGTGACTATAACTATTTATTAACGCTTGGCTGAATGGAGTTGGCTCACGAGCCTTCTCCATTGCGCGTCATTTTGCTTCACTCTTTTCTATTCGCTTCTCCGATATTTTGTCTGGACCAAAGATTGTATGAAACATATATATTCGGAATTCATTCTCGCATTTGACTTATTTAATTCAGTTACTGAATAATTTTCTGTGGTTAGCGTTTTTTTAGCGAGTTAGTTTTTTACGGGATGTGGTCGCTAACGCCATGCTCAACCCCACTCCTTTACCCGTGATTGGGACCGGTAGTAGCCCCCGGAGGGACTCCAGGCAGACTTGGGGAAAGCTCCCAACTGCGTCACAAGACAAGTCCTCACATGGAATCCTCAAGGCCAAAGAACAGATTACGCCAGGAAATGGAGATAGACATGAGAAAAATGAACAAGAGAAGGATGGAACTAGAAAAGAAGGGCAAGGACAAAGTGAGCTGGAGAATGCTGGTCGGCGGCCTATGCTCCTTTAGGAGTAACAGGCTGAAAGAAGAAAGAATTCAGTTACTGACTAACGCGAATTAAGCCGGTGATTATATACGAGGAGTGATGATATGTATATCTCAGTAGCAATCAGAAACAACCTCATTGGAGTCAGACCCCGGGCCACTAAATAAGGACTCAGTGGTCTAGAGTTTAAGCGCTCGCGCGAGATCAAAGGTTCTGACTTCAAATACCACATGTGAGATCGTGAATGTCCACTACTGAGAAATACCATACTAGCTACAAAATAGCCATCAAGTGATCTCAGGTTTTTAATAGTGGTCTAACATCGATCGTTTCATGGTTTCAATCTACAACAAAATAAATACTTTAATATAAACTAAAGGATTGTTAAAATTGAATGAGAAAACAGTCACGCGATTCAGATAAAATTAGAAAACTTTAATAGAATTAACTAAGGGAATCACGAATACATACATACATGGAGTTAAGGAGTTGTTAATTAGCATGAATTATTTAATATTATACTGTTTTAAATTTATTATTTATTTAAACTCATAAACATTGTTACAATAAGGCACCAAATAGATATGCACCACATAAACCATTCGATTTGTGTGAGGGCTGAGATACTGCCCGGGTGCTCAAACCGAAGCAGGTGATTTTCTCAGGAAGCTATACTACAAGCCCTTGCCTTTGACCTAAAGGTCTAATTCACAAGGTAGTGGAGCGACGTCACGAGTATAAGCAGTAATCGGAAACATTAGGACTTGAAAATGTTATTCAAGGAGTATAATCAAGCGAAATAAATTTGGGAAGAGAAAAAAGAGACAAGGAGGAGTCAGAAGATTAGAATTTGAGAGAACACAAAGAGTGGATGCATCTGCGCCATTGCAATTAATTTTGAGCCATATCATTCAACAGCTCTAACTATCGGTTTCGCGGATCCCAACCAGGTAGTCTACACCTACCAACGTGGCTCAGTCCACTTGTCAATGACATCATGGATTTGTGCCATGTTTTGGTCTGGCCGCCCCTAGCTTTCTTTCAACCTATTCCTACACCATAAAACATCACAAGTCGGGACAGTTGGTGGTTGGAACAACTATTACAATTTCTTAATAATAATGATACAAATCTATTATTAACCAATAATTATTCAATGTTAAGATAAAACAACTAGATGACCCTGAAGTGAATGTGAATCGAACACACACACAGGGGAGCATGTTTCAAAAATGAAACAGTGACTATTTAATTGTTCAATGTTTCAATTTAGATGAATCATCTAAAATGGGTGTTGCCCAGTGAAGAAAAACGGATTTACTTTAGATAGTAATAAATAAATAAATAAGCAAAATTAGAAAACTTTTTTATTAAAAACTAGTTTTTAGAAAGAAACCATTAAAACCAATTAGATCTAAACTGCTGATGATGATGATAATAATAATAAAGAAAAAAGCAAACCATGTGTTACTACTATTACTACTACTCAATAATATATGGATAATAGTTATAACATTAATCATATCTTAATCAATAATTTCAGTAATAACTAACCATTATCATGGTTACCAAGCTTGAGCCATGTGTTACGTATGCCTGAACACTGATTATCACGACGCGCAATGCTGACTAGTAATGGGGGATGGATGGAAGAAAGTTAGGGGCAGTCAAACCAAAATGTGGCATCAGTCCACTAAGTCACTAACATCTGAGCTTAGCCATATTGATAGATACAGACTACTTGGTTGGGGTCCGCGTGACTATTGCAACGAATGGTTGGAGACTCTGAGGGACATGACTAAGAATCAATAACAATGGCGTAGGTGCATACACTCTATGCTTTTCTTTAAACTGTGATATTAAAATCGCTTCATATTTTTCTACGAACTAATTCCTTCTTCCTGTCCTGTATTCTTATATGCAATCTTTCTTTCATATGTTACTACCGCAGAAGTAACAACTTCTATGAATCCGGTGTTGATCTTGTTGTGCTAATGAGGTGTGGCATTGTGGACTGATGCATATATATGTCTGGTCGTACGTTGTAGCTGACTGACTAAGCCATCGCCATATAACACACAAACTTATTATAATATATATTTTTGGGAATAGTTTATCATTCAAATGAATTTAAACTATTATGTCTGACATACAGCGGGTGGGTGGGTGGAGTGTTGGACACAACGAATGAGAATAGTCCTATTTATTGAGTTCCATATTAATCAGTACTCATATTATAAACCAAAAGGATAGTAAAAAACTTGGACTATTACAGTGCGATATCCGTTCAGTAATATTGTAGTGAACATAGGCGGGACAGTCGAATGTATTTAAACACAAAATTACAGAATATCTTAGTAAAATTTGGGAACCATACAATGAATACTTAATCTACAAAATACCAATCAATTATCTCAAACTTGAATATACTTTTTGCAAATATCAGTCAGTCGTCTCAGATTTAATTGTTCCTGTATTTCCGTACCAATTGCTTTCTATTCCCGTATCTTCCTCCTCAATCTTCTTGATCTTCTGCTGCCAGACATTTTATTCCTGACTAGCGTTATATACTACTTATGTCTATATAGGTAGTACACACCATAATATTAAAGAGTACAATAGGTTAAAATCTACAGTAGAAGTCTATAGCTATAAATCACTAACTCATCTAACTATAATTGAGATTAAGTTTCATCCGGTTGGATTGATTGTAAACATGGTACTACAGATGAATGTAACATAACAAATTAATTGAACCTAGAATTGCAAATTATTGTATGGTGGCTTAGTGGTCTCTAGGTTCATCAATGCTTCTGAGGATTCAATCTTGTATGGTATCGTGGATGTATACTGCTGAAGCGATTCACACTATTATATGATAGCTGTCCAACGACTGTTTAACTAAAATTAATCCGTAATGTAAAACTATAAATAATAAATAATAATAATAACCAGTTACTACATGTAGAAATAACACTTAGAATCGATTCAAATTAGTTAGAAGATTCAATGGAATGAAAAGAAAAGCTGAAGAACACTTACTGGATGAAATCGTTTCAACAAATCATGCAATTCATTTAAACGTGGTAAAGATGTTTTGATTAGATTTTCTGAAGCTTTCATTATATGTAATTTATCAATAACGGTATTACTATTATTAGTAGTATTAGTATTATCATCTTTTGATGAAGTAATGAATTGATTGGACTTTTCAACAAGATCACTAATATGATGATTATCAACAGTAGAAGAGAGATTATTGCCCAGATTAGTATTGTTACGTAATATAAATTTCAAATTACTGCTAAGATCACCGGAACATTTAATTAATGCATCAAAATCTAAACCATATCCATCTTCTCCAACAGGAAAACTTGACTCACTAAAACAGTTGCGAATATAAAAAAGGAATAGTTAAGATAAAAAGTAGAAAATAAGATTAACTACTACTGAATAATCTAGTTAAACAAAGTGATTATAAATAATTAATACACTTGTTTTATTTATCTTTTTATTTGTTCAATACATCTTCAAAAGTTTCATCTCTTCATCAGATTTTCTTTGTTTGTCCATTGTGGATGGATAGAGAGTTTCTTTGAATTCAATCGGATTGGCAATTATTTTGATAGTGAATCAGTAATTAGTAAACATAAAGATTCAGTACTTTAATCAAAACAAGTGATTGTCCTGAAGTTGAAACATCAGTATGGTAATGAATGAACGATATACACCTTGACAATTCGTGAGTTCTTCCCAGAATTTAAACAAAATGTCCAGTATTGTTTATTTAAACACATAAAAATTGGTATAAGGATGCACCAAACAGATATGTGCCACATAAATAATTCGATTTGTGTGAAGGCCAAGATACTGCCCCGGGTGCTCATATCGAAGCAGGTGATTTTCTTAGGGAGCCAAACCCTAAACAGATAATTGTGAATATACACGAAAATGCAAAGTAAAGTATTTTGGTGAAGTTTTGTTCCCTGAGCTGGGTGGTTTGGTCGTAGAGCTTTCATCGTTATTCTGAACGACATCATCAGCAAAAACTTCAGGTAGTAATGAGCTGAAGACAATGACAGGTTAAAGGTCAACAATAACCAATCAAGATTGAGGTCTACAGAACAAACTGCGAGTTATATGCGGAGAAATTTGTGATGACGATGAAAGCTCCAAGACCAAACTACCCAGCTCAGAAAACAAAACACCACCAAAATCATACACCTTAGATACGATTCTTCACTACCATCTCAAAGTGAAATATATTTATATAATTGGTTAAATAATGATACCACGAATAATTAAAGATTCAACTGTTAACCATATTTAAAATCCACTTCTTGTAATGTAAATTTGAGCTAAATCTAATAATACTAATAAAGACTAACAGACATAGACCTGTAACATTGGAGAATGATCTCAATATTACCCTGTCTCATTTAAATTTTTTGTGCTTAAACTCAAATGTATTTGTACATTTCCGTAAAATTGTCGAAACCCTGAATGACATGGCTCAAAATCGTTTGCAATGATGCACGTGCATCCACTCTTTGTGTTCTCCCAAATTCTAATCTTCTGAATTCTTCATGTCCCTTTCTTTTTTCTCTTTCCAAATTCATTTTACTGGATTATACTTCTTGAATAACATTTTCAAACCCTAATCTTTCCGATTACTGCTTATACTCTTACTATCTCTACCACTACGGAATTTGAGTCGATAACTGCATCTCTGTGCTAATGTGGTGTGGCAACTCGAACTGATGTACGTACGTACGAAGTTCTACGTTGTTACTCACTGACTGACTGAGTTTCCAGTAATCAATTAGTCTAATATCTATTAGAATTAGATATTTTGAAGTTAAACAGTTTATATCTAACAAAAACATCCCTGCGCCTATACTCAATTCTAGCGACGAGAGTGTTAAAAAAGAACACAACAAAGGTAGATGAAAGTTGGTCAAATTTTCAGCATCCTGTTGAAATACAATAATTTACCAGGGAACACATATGATGGGATCAAATTGAGACGGATAGTTAAATATTAATTCTATTGGCAAGTGAGTGATCCAAACTAATCTGATCTATATGAATCGCTTGTTTGAGAAATAAAAGCTAATCTTGTTTATTTTCATTCTAATATTTTGTATATAAGATATATAGGACAGTGGCTAGCAGTGGAATCCAGTACACGCGTTCCGTCCTATGTGGGACTCGTCAGCTGGATGCACCTACATTTCAGAGTTGACGTTCATTTTGGGGCTCGAACTCAGTACCGTTCGCTTTAAACGCCATCACGGTATCCACTTAGCTACTGAGTCCTGATAGCCACTTGGTTGTGCAATAGGGTGAAGTTCAAATTTACTTGGTATTGTTTGTCTGAATCTTCCCATTGATGTTTAGGAATGTATTCATTTGAACTGCAGAGGATAGAATGTTAGTGAATCAATATTATAGTTAACTAGCAACCAGGTATAATGTTATCATTCGCAAATTATTTATCGATACGATACGTTATTCATCATTTCAGTAGTTCAAGTAAAGCTGTACATCAGTATGAAACCATGAAAACACCTACTGAATGATTATTGTCATGGCAATAAAAACGTTCATAAACATTTAAAAAAAAGGAGAGTATTAACTTACGGCTTCTTTTTACCGATTAAAGCAATACATACATTTACACAACTGACTAAAATAGATGGTACGACGTATTCATTAGCTATAATACGATTTAATAACATTGACATAGTTTCTTCACTGAAAAGGGAGAAACAAAAGGCTGTTTAACATAAGGCTCACTTTAACTACGAATTATATACAACAACAAAACAAAAACGTGATACATCAATTACGAAATAATTCAGACACTTTACATGAGGTATGATCTGATCTGATGATCTGTACCAACAACAAGTAGAAAGTGACAAAAATTAAAGAAAACATGCCATAAAGTAACAAAAGTCGAACGAAATATAAATGAAGGATAATACTATGCAATTACAAGTACAATAAACATAGACATGGTCATACACATGTTTGTTAAGAGATTTATAAGATTCGAAATAATTATCTGCATACTTAGATTTAAGCAGATAAAAGATGAATAATACATAATTGTAAGTGGTGAACGAGGGTTAGTACTAAAAGAATTATAGAAATCTATTGGGAAAAAAGTTGTGAAGGTATTCATGTTTATCAAACATCTATTGTATTCCGTGAATCATAATGTCAAGAAATCTTTCAAAGTAATATGTATAAATTGGTTGCTCCAATGTTAGACAGTCCTCAAATGCCCTGGTACAGCTGAGAGTGGGAAAAGTCAGCTCTCATTCTCAAAATGCTCTCACATCGTCACGTGCAACTAATCATTGCCTTCTTGCAGCGAGTGTTGATCAAAAAATTGAGAGGACGAAAAGAGAATGTCCAGCGCTTTAACCGGGTTGGTGGACATGGAGAGTCTACTTAGGGGAGTTGGGAAACATAGATTCCAAACCTATGGTGTACATGGACTCCATGATCCCGAAGGAAAATGGCGTATGAACCAATTATTGGTCACCGGGTACCATGAGACTTCATCTCCATACGTTGCTTCACTACCTTGCGGATTAAACCTTTATTTAGAAGGCTCTGGGTGTGGCCACCTAAGAATACCACCTGCTTCGGTTCGGGCACCCGGGCAGTATCTCAGCCCTCACATTAAATCGAATGATAGATGTGGAGCATATCTATTTAGTTCTTTCTCGTACCAATGTTTATGTGTTTAAATAAATAAATAAATACAGCAATCACATGTTGCATTTTCTTAAACACACATTAAAAGGAATGCAAAATCAATCAATTAATTGATTAGTAGTAGTAAAAGGGAAAATATATATCATGTAACACATAAGTTGTAAGCGTAATCATTACACAGTACATAAAAGAAACCGTTACCACATAGTTAATTGACATAGTATTCAACAGAATGACAATCGATTTAACAAACAAACAGAAAAAAGTTTGAAAAAAGACTGAAATCAACGCAGTGAACTACTTCTTTTCTTTTAATCTAACTGAGTTAGAATGAAATTAATCATTTTTTCATAATAGGATAAATATAGAATACATTTGCATTAAAAACTAGAGTCAACCTTTGGCAGTTCAATCGCATTAGCGTTATTTAATATGACTAAATAACATCAACAGATTATTATCCAATCACAGTTCAGTCCCGGGAATCGGACACATTCAACATAAAAAAAAACTGCGAGCTCACCGACAGATTATTCCGAATGATTTGCTTGATCGACGTCAGCTTGATGTGATACATTAGAAATTTTTTGGTTAAAAATACACAAACTTAACAAAGTGATCAGTAATTTATCTGCTAACCAATGTGCTTTTACAAATAAAGATATATTTAACGGGGGTTTTGTGGATATTACAGTAATATAATAATATATGAGATTTCTATGATATCTACAAAAACCCCATCTGATATTAATCAACATATGCTCACTATGGACTGGCTTCCTGGAGTTCTAGTGAGAAGCAGTGACCATTAGAGTTCAAATCGGTCTGTTGTGAGATAATAACTCACTGAAGACAATAGTGGATATGTCGCTCAATTTCGTGGATTAGTTGAAGTTAGATATTAACACCACTGGATGCCAGCTCAGTAGTTTAGTGGTTAAGCATTCGCGCGCGAGACTGATAGGTCCTGGGTTCGGGTCTTGTGAGGTGAGGTCGTGGATGCACAATGCTGAAGCGTCACACGATAGGACGAAACGGCCGTCCAGTGCTTCCAGGTTTCCCATGGTAATCTAGCTTCAATTGACTCATGATCACAACTATTGATATATTTGTCGAATTTAGGGTGGAGGAAGGGTTTTGTTTTATCCTTTCTCATTAATAAACATGTTTGTTATATAGCATACCCCCTACAATTAAGTTTCTATACTGTTAATTTTGTCAAGCCCTTCAACTAATTTATTTGACGTGTAATGTTATTCGAACAGTAACAATTTGTCTATTTCTTTATATTATTATTAATATTATTATCATGTCTGTATGGAACATGTAGGCTTGATCACGTGTGGCAGCCTACGCACATATTCCTCATTTTACTTTGGTAGTGTTCGTAAATTTTATCATATGCACTATCCAGTAATAAACTGTAGTCTATACTTCATGTTGTTGCCTTCCTAATTTATACAGCGTTGTTGGGATTTATTTAATAACAGTTATCTAGCTGATTGATATACAAAGCCTTAGGAATCGTCTCGAAAACAAGACACTACAGTTATATGTATATATACATAGATTAGATACAGACAAACAAGATGAAAGGTTTCACATCAAGTCACATGTGATCATCATAATATTTATTCAGAAGTGAAAAAAAGTCAACACATCATATAATGACGTATATGTGTACTTGCATTATAATAATTTACTACAATGATCTGTATAAGTGCATGTCGGCATGTGGACTGGATACAAATTATTGCAGACCAATAATACAATGATATAATAATATATGGATAATCACTAACAGGCACATGTGTCAAAATTTAAAAGTAAAAGGGGTGGAACTATAATTTATGAACGATCTTTGAACGACGCCAGAGTGACCTTGATAGGGTTCACCTACTGACTAGGACCAAATGAGTGTTATATAGACCAATGTGAAGACATTGACAGTTGACGGTTAAGGTTAGGAATTATATTTAAGGTTTTCATCACGAACCTACATTAATTATAATGTAAACATTTCATTTTGTCAAATGGATGAGTGAATTTCGCGCTAAAATCCCAGACCTGTTATCGTATACCTAATTGGTTCGTCCATAAATTATAGTCTCACCATAAAAAAAGGCATCGTTGTATCTGTTATTACTGTACGTTCTTACCTACCTTGTGTATGAATTAGATGTATGTTATTACATAATAGTGTAGGAAGATATAAAGTTATAAAAACAAACAATAATGCTAATAGGATTGAAAGAAAGTTAAGAAATATGTCTCAATTGATTGATCACTGGGTGGCGATCAATGTCATGCGTGTCTAGTCCTTATTAGTGCAGACGGAATGCTATCAATTATGTTGCAATGTAGCCACCAGTCTAGGTGACTCGACACTGCGGGCACTATAATATTGAGATTATATGGTGGTTGGAGGTAGTCGACAGGAAACCCTGGACCCGGGTTTCGTGCTACTTGGCACTCGTCAGCAAGGTGCACCTTTAATCTTGAGGGAACTGGCGCTGACGTGTGCCAAGTAGCACGAAATCCGGGTCCAGGGTTTCTTGTTGACTATCTCCAACCACCATATAATCTCAAGAAATATATCTGTTCATCATCAAAATTTAATTTGAAACTCATTAGTCTCATGTATATAATTGTCTCCTAGAGAATTGTATAAAGGATATAATTTCAATCTGACTTATATATATCATTTGACACTTAGAATAATTTGAAAAATACTGATCTTCTCTTAGTTGTTTCGAACAAAGCACTTCAAGTACCATTTATCTGGATGACAATCTTTTAAATCATTTCAAAAGCAGAGTATCTGTTTGTTAAAAAAATGAATATTGCAGGATAGGTACACAAGGAAATCGATTCACAAGATGGACGTGAGATGGTAAATGACAATATGAGAAGACTAGTCAACTTCTTCAGAATACACAGCAATCATAATTGGGGTTAAGTTTTCGGGACTAGAGTTTAAAGGTGGATAATTAGAAGTCGAAGCATTGCTTATGTATTTTGGGACCACGGTTTAAGTAATGCTTGGGTTAGTAATAGAGTGCTACGGAAAGATGGTAAATCAATTGATGAAGGTAGTAAATCTTCATCTACTGAAGTGGTTAGGACGTGTAATGAGTTTTCACCCACCGCCTACCTCAATGGACGATGTTTTCTGGCACAGGATTAGGCTAGAAGGGGTGGTCAAATCAAAACATAGCATCAGTTCATGAAGACTGACAATTGGATTAGACCATGTTGATAGATGTAGACTACCTGGTGAGGGTCCGCGTGATCATCGTAACCAATGGTTAGAGATATGGCTCAAAACAGTTTGCAATGGAGCAGGTGCATCCACTTTTTGTTTCCCATCAAATCCTGAGATTCTAAATTACACTACATTACATTCATATCTTCGGTGCCTAATCTTTTCTATCACCATAGATGCTGTGGTAAACGATTTATCATCACTAGTTACAAATTTACTCATTAATGATGGTCAGTTCTGTTTATACTGAGAGAAGAATATTTATTGAACATAGGATATCGCTTATGCCACATGCATAATTTCATCTTCGTGTTTGTTAACAACGAATGTGATATCAGTCTCTTGAACTAATGAGCCTACATAACATTTACTTTATTTAGATTGTAGAATAATTTATTGTCTTAAATTATATTTCAACGTGGTTATTCACCTTCATTCAATTTCTATTTACATCATTTTACCACCACTGTTTATAATTAGTTAATCCGATGAACTCAATCAATTTCTGTGCCGATAGATACATATGATGAACCACCTAGCTGTAGTTAAAGAGTAATTATAACGTTCAATACATACACACATATGCACCGCAGTTATATGAGTTTGACCTTGACAGTGGATTCATTAAATGAAAAATATGAGCAAAGAATCAAATAAAATTCATGAAAAAGGTACATGCTACGTGAACCGATTATTTATCATTTTCTTCAAGGTCAATCGTTGTAAACAAAAAGTTATGCAATAAACAATTACATTGTGT